AGAGTTCTGCAAATGCTCGGCAATGTCCAGATTTGGTTGACCATATGATGAAAGATAGTGCTCGAGTCGCTGCTGATTGAGTTGCTGGGAGGGAGAATGGTTCAATAGCAATGTCGCTCTGCCCATAGTTAGTCACAATGGAACCAGACATAAGCCGGGGTAGGGATTACTGACAAATTATATACGACTTCCGCATCGACTGAGCCCTCGCGGCCTTTATAGCCCGTTTGAACAACTGTCTCCCAGATTTCGCCCTCGCGCACTTTGGTGGAGATAGCCTTCCACTCTTTCTGACCGAACGTTGCTTTTCCTTCCTCGGGTCCCAGGTCAAGTATTGCGCTCAGCAGTGTGATGTATAAATTCCAAACTTTGATCCTCACCGAAGCTTGTGCCATAGCAATCGGCGGTAGTGACTCGTTACCGTTGGCATATTGGTCGTCATTTGCCTGACTGGGTGCGAGGATGGGTTCAAGAGTGGTTAGAGTTTCTTGCAGCCGACGAGTTAAAAAAAGCTGAGAAGCTTTCTTGTAGGTTTTTGAGCAGATCTTCGAAGGCGAAAGGGACGATGTGGAGGTCGAGAGTTGCGACTGCGAGGCCGACACGGAATCGTCGGCGGCCATTGTTTCACCGCCAGCCGAGGATGCGATAGATGTTTAATGTGGGGATATGTGGTTCGCGTGGTGGTTACAATATGTGCAGTGAAGATATAAAGGCCCAATTCACGCTCAACTGTATCTCAGGGGTGGTTGGGATGCAGCTAACAGGAGGACGTGACACTTGACACTAACTTTCAGCTTGGACGGGTTGCAAGTCGGGGTTCCTTTTCCCTCGGCTCAATCTGATGTGGCCGAATCTGGGGTCTGATGTCACGGGACGGTGGATCTGCGCTGTCTGACAATACAACGATCGGGAATTATCCTATCTAATTGTGAGGCTTAACTGAACTGCAAGATAATTATATTCACATTGCACTTCCCTGAATTATATATACAAGGAACAGGAATACTGCAGCTTCATTAGAGAAATGAATTGAGACTCACATTACTGAGTGGACTGTGGCCCATTCCACGTGAAGGATACAAGCCGATCTGCTATTAATGTGACAGCTCAGCGGGCACCATTATACTACCTATTGAGCTAACCATTTTAAATCAAACTCCTGTATACTCATATCGACCAATTTTTTTTATTTCCACAGGCCTATGTGACAATCGAGATGGATATCACACCTAAAACCTTCCCCTTCTTCCTTCCCAGGATACTGGATGACCTAGCGTCTTGCAGTTTCGTTTCTATAGACTTTGAATTTTCGGGGATTGCGTGCTCTTCAAATTTGCCGAATAACAAAACGTCTACGCTGCAAGAGCGTTATGCAGAAATCAAAAAATCAGCCGATAAGTATCGAATAGTGCAAATTGGTCTGACAATTTGTCATGAAGATACTGAGTCAGGTAAGAGACGACTGTCCTCGAGGATTGAGTCAGAGGTATTAATAACCATAATTACAGGAACCTACATCCTCAAGCCCTTTAACTTATACCTGAACCCAATAATCGACCGTAGATTAGAAGTGGGAAGGGATATGTGCTTCCAAAGCGGCGGTATGCCTTCAAGTTTCATACTTGTGAGATAATAGAGCTAAGATCTATCGAAGCGGTTGAGTTTCTCTTGGAAAATAAATTCTGCATGAACTCCCTTTATAGTGATGGCGTTCATTATTTGTCACGAGAAGAAGAGACAATAGCCATAGCCAGGGCTGCTGAGAGGTATGGCCGTACCTCCGTGCGCAAAGTGATCGACGTTAAGGAGACAGAACATGACTCTCTGGCGTTCCTGGAAGCAGTACGACATCTGGTTGACGACTGGCTTGCGCTTGGCGAGGTAAATTGCCTTGATTTTATTATTGCTTTATTCCACAATATAACGTCGCTAGGCTCGTGAGGCTTATCTCAACATACCCCCACCAAAACGATACACCACGTCTCGAAAACCTAAGCTCATGCCATCAATCTTGAACAACTTTCAAAAGAGGCTTGTTCATCAGCTAATAGAGGTCGAATACCCCTCTCTAGTGACTATCAGTAGACCTGCTTTCATTCAAGTTATTGACTATGACGAAGACCGCGAGAAAGCTATCCGAGAGCAGAGGATGACTCGGGCACAAGAGCGAGTCTGGACGCAGATTGGATTTAGATGGATCGTGGAGGCGTTAACTGGTGGCGATCTCTCGCATCTTGATCCGTTTTGTTTTGGGAGCATAATGAACAGCTCGATAGCCGTGGAACCACAGGTTTCACTGCACGAGTTTTCTGACAACTTGCAGCAGCGCTTGAAATCTCATCGACCTGTGCTGGTAGGACATAACCTGTTCACAGACGTGGTATATCTTTATCGCTGCTTTTTCGGACCACTTCCGGATAAGCTGGATCAATTCCAAGCAATAATTCAAGAGATGTTTCCAATTCTGATGGATACAAAATACATGGCCACGCACGATTGCGGTTCTATCACACCCAAATCGTCTTTGAGTGAGATAAACGATAAACTCCTCCATATAAAGACCCCGAAAATACGTGCGGAAAATGCCTCGTCTTGTATTGTTGTTGCGTCAAGCTGATTCTTGACCAGGTGTACATGATCAGCATTCCAAGTACAACAGCAAGCGAATCGACCACGAGGCAGGCTATGACAGCCTGCTGACTGCTCAGATATTTATCAAGCTCTCCGCTCAGCTTCGTGACGGAGGCATCTCCAAGCTCCAGGAGCCGGCTGAATTGAAAGGCCAGCCGGATACTACGGGCTCGAACGCTACGACCTTGGCTGTTCCAGAAAGCCTGAGGGGCATTACAGAGAAGGAATCAGCAACAGGAAAAGAGGCGTTCAAGACATCAACGAGCACCAATCTTGGCACGAGATTTGATGCACTTGACGTTGAAGAGATTAACAACCAAGTTGGAAGCATGGCTCTCAAATCGTGTAAATCCAGTAGCTCCGTCGATATCACTCGGAAAGTCACCAATGGGGATTTAATACCTCGGCGAGATGCAGAGTTTTGGAAAGTCTACGGCAATAAGCTGCGTGTTTTTGGCACGGAAGAAAGAGTCTGGAATGTCGCCTAAGAGCCAGCGTCCAGCCAAGCATTGCCTAATTTGTAACCAGCAGGTCTCTCACGAGGATAATAATTTTTGCATTACGAAGTATACAGTAATGATATACTAGCCCATCTTTCTCATAGGGGAGAACATGATCACTCTCCCATAATCTACTATAGTTCGCGGACCCCTAAGCAAACAGTGTAGTAATGCTAGGGGATGTATGCAGCATCTATCTAACAGTACGCCTTGATTTTGAAGAAGGTACCGCTAGCGAAATCAGCCGCAAAAAGTACTCACTCTGAGCACCGGTAAATGATCGACTGGTCGTGGAGAATCTTAACACAGTGACGATAAGGAAAAGGTGCTGTGAAGAAGAAAAGGAAGTGAAAGGAACAGCGGGAAAAAATTTAAAGGACGAAAAATGGCCGGTCACCTGATAGTCTAACCTCCCCGGGCTTAGTGTTTCCGGTGCTCTCTCAGCGGACAGGTGACCGCCAACTTTTCTCGCAATATCGGCGTCGGACTGTTGACAAGCACGTCAGTATCCAGCAAACACAGTCGGCAAGATGTCGTCGGGATCCAATGGTGCCAGGCGCATAGCGTCTGTTCTGCGTACGTCTTTTGTCGATGCACCAATGGCCAATTATCGGCCGTACTGACTCTGTTTAGGGCCCTCGATTGCCGACCCCAAAGTGTGCAGAAGTTGTCAAGAGACGCTTGTTCGCCGCAATTATTCCTCGGCCGCTGCCCAGCCCTCTTTTGAATCTACCTCTACCGCTACAACCACCTTCCCCGTCGTGAAGCCCGTCTACACCATCAATGCCGGCGTGGCCCTATCCCGCCCCCCTCAGATTACCCGCGACCTCTCACAATTTGAGAAAGCATACTATTTCTACCAGAAGCGACTGAACGAGCGTTTGGCGCTTCCATTCACTAAATACTTTTATTTCAAGCGAGGAACGCCAGCAGACGAAGACTGGAAGCGTAAAATCCGGGAGCGCCAGACGCCTGCGCGTGATATCGGCAAGTACAATGCGTACTCGAAGGACGCATGGAACGATGAACTTCTCGTCGGATCCGTCGAGGCCGAACCGGAGCACCAGGTGGAGATGCTTGTGCAGGATGCGGAAGCCACAGTCAATGCCACCTCCCAAGATACTAGCAAGAAGGAGGAGATCCCCAGGCCATTCCCCCGAGTAACGGAGGCGGATGAGAAGAACGACCAGAGAAGCCTGAACCGGGCCCTCCAGAGGACACTCTATCTTCTGGTTCAGACTAAGGATGGCTATTGGAAGCTCCCCAGCTCTCCGGTGGAACAGGATGAAACTCTTCGACTGGTGAGTGCACCAGAGATTACCTACCCCTGTGTCTGTTCCCTTGTACTATGTTGGGCGTAATACTGATATGTCATGTAACGTACAGGCTGCTGAACGTACCCTTGCCCAAGCCGCCGGTGTTAACATGAACACCTGGATGGTGGGCTTCCACCCCGTCGGCCACCACGTCTACAACTTTAGATACCCGAGGGCCGATACGGCTAATGGCACAGAGCATCTGGGCGAGAAGACTTTCTTCATGAAGGCTCGAATTATGGCTGGACAGGCTGATCTGGCCGCCAACACGCAGAACCTCAAGGACTTCAAGTGGCTGACCAAGGAGGAGATTGCGCCTTATGTGCTGCCACAGTACTACAGCCACATCAAGAACATGTTGGCTGAGCGGTAAATAGTTGGTTAAACAGGGTGTACAGCTTATTAGGTATCTTTTCTGAGAATGATTAGATCCTGTGCTGGGATGTGGAAGGTGTGTACTGATAAACTGAGCGATTCGATCCACTGAGAGGTGCCTATGCCCGAGATGGGCCAGAACTGCATATACTATTGTATGTCATGTATAACTAGCATTTGAATTATCATATTATTATTCGCAATTCATCTTCAGCCTCGCTGGTGTACAGTATCAACAGAGCCCAAAACGCCATGCAATATATATTTAGCCCATACCCAAAGTAAACAAGGTAGTATAACCAACTTCACGAACAACCCAGCAGAAGAGGAAAATCACCTAACGACCCGAACTCATCCAATTACTTCAGGTTAAACTTCTGCCCCTGCACGATAGGCTGGTCCTTCTTGGACTTCCCGGTCATACTCTTGCCGCACATTGGACAAGCTATGATATCAATTAGCAACCCCCATCACCATAACATTTAGGACAAAGCAAGACATATAATGAAAATAATAAGGAAAAGAAACGTACCATTTTTCTGATACGCACACCGCTGACAGAACTTCCGCCCCTGCTCCGTCTTCGTCTTACAGTTCTCACAAGAAGACGAATAAGCAGCATAAGGATTCTTAGCCTTCGAGCTAAGCAACTTGCTCTATATCAATTTACCATGTCAGCAAGCACTCTAGCCAAACGCAAATCCACAAATCCGCAGAAAATAGAAGAACAAAGATAGGAAGAAGCATACCTTCCCAATACCCGTATTCCCTAACGTCGGCTTAGACTTACTACCTTCTCCACCGCCGCCTCCCACAGAGGTCGATGGCGAACCATAGTACATCTCACTTTTGCGTTTGACGCCGGGAGTAGCTAGTTCGGTGGATTTGAGTTTCTTTTGACATTTTGAGCAGACCATTCTCGTTGTTCTTCTTTTCTTCCTTTTTTATTTTAGATTTCTGGGTTGCTTCAATGGTTGTTATTGATGGGTTTGAGTATTGTTAGTATGAAATCCATGGTATTCCCGTTTGGGGTTGGAGTTGTATCAAGTGCCAAGACAACTAACCAGTAATAAGTGGTCGGGAACATGACGCATTTCATGCCTTGGAAATCAGGCATTAATGATAGAATGGTATGTCCTCTACACGGAGAATATGATGCCAACAATGGGTTGCGAAGCTGGCTATCGCTTACTGTGGATTACATCACTAGTACAGAATCATATCGGTGTTCTGACATGGTTCTTCATCTGAACAGTGTTTGATTATCTACACCGTATGTGTTAATGATTGTACTTGGAAGTGACATGGCTGCCATGAATGATATAGCTGAGTCTATAGAAATTCGAGCCCCTACTAAGAGTAAGATCATCGTATATGTGATTAGCTTGGCGTCTAAATTTAGTATTTGTTATTGAAGTAACAAAGAAATAACTTAACAAAGGAACAAGACGTACATGGTAGTTGGTACTTAGTAGCTGTGTTTGTCCAATAGTGTATTTAGAACGATATATAAACATAGTTGGCTATGTCGGCTATTACCGACGACATGTACAATCGTAGGTCTCTTTTGAATATTCTAGCTCTGGGCGATAATCATGCTGGGCTCTAGTCTATGTAGTTGTTAGGTCGTACTGCAAGATCTTGTTTGGACTGTAAATGTCTCGCGAACTCGAGCAAGAGATATACTTGCAATGGAACCATAGCCGGGATGGATTTGCATACATATAAGCACTTGGTAGGGCTTTGGGATAAGTGTTACTATCTGTACTTTCTGTATAGATTACATGTTTAGAATATGCCTAATTTGCTCTCTTTTTCTTTACTACTGGCGATTGATGATGACATGATTAATGAATTATCCTTCGCAGCTTGATGGGCTAAGTCACGGCTACAGAGTGTTCCGTATAATTTTCGTATTTATGTCAAAGTGCAGTTATAAGCTGAACTATGAAGCATAAAATAAGAGATTGGCCGAGATCAAAGTTTGAACAGAAGGGCTGAAGAGCTGAAGGAGGAGTCGTATGTAACATGGCTTGGATCGCGTAAATGTACTGCTGATCCACCGGTTACTTGCGCCCGACACAGCCACGGTCCACAAAGCCGAGACTTGCAAAGCACCAATAAAATAGATTAGAAAAAGATATTGGGGAACGTGGGTATAATGCAATGTTCATGATAAGTTAAAGTTGCTTCTATGAGTAACTGTACTGCAGTTTTATTTGTGTTGATGTCTTGAGCTAGAGCGGTTGGATTTATCAACGGACACCCCCAGCCCTAATTTGGATTCTTGAAAAAGCAAACAGTGTAGCATATTGGCCCGGCCTTGCATATGCTCACATCAATTTAGGCCTATATGCAGCATCTTCCCCGAAGTTGTTTCAATTAACAAACAACCAATATGCCTGAGTTAGGGAGTAATGGATTGAAAGGGCAATGTCTGGCGATAAGGGACGAAGTTATTTCTAAAATGGCTATAAATAGTTGATAGACTGTAAACATTGGTGATTGTACTTAGAGGGAACAGGGCTTATGGTGACAAAATGTCACCAATTTTTTTTTATCCCGAGGCCTGAGTGCAATCTTACCCTAAGTTGCGGTAACGTCAATAAATCGAAGGAGAGTATACCAAGAGAAGCTACGGCAGCCCACTCTAGGTGCCTATCGCCGTTCAAGAATTTTGTCAAGGTGGTGGGCAGGAAACGCATAATGACCACACCCCGTGGAGTTTGCCCGCATTCGCATGATGCCAGGTTCCATGGTCTAGACGAGTCTCTAAAAGCTCACGCAATCGAGATCCTTGTACCATTTGGCATTATATCGCTGAACGCTGGTGCTAGAAGCCGAAGAATATTTTGTTCACGAGTCAAGATATAAGCATTGGGAATTGGATTGTGTAGTAATTACATATATTGAATGCTATGGGCCAATATTAAGTATGCAAAGTCAAGCTTTCCTACGGGCAATTGGGCTGGCTGTATTGCTCAGGCATACGATTTCATACCTATGAGTTGGAGAATAGGGATTTGATTAGAATGCGATTCAACTCTAAAATATACAAAAACAAGCTATAGTGCTTCATTTGGATATTGACTAGCAATCACCTTTCCTATGCAAGTAACCATACTTCTCTTGGAGAGAGGTGTGTGTGTCTGTAGGTTTGGCCTGGACTCTCCGGCAACCCCAACTCTTGGAGATTTCCTACACGAGAGACGCACAACGTCATGACCAAATAGGCAGGTCTGAGGAATTTCTATAGATAGATATCTCAAGAAGAGGAGGAAAAACATCAATGCGTCCATTCACAAGGGAGTAAGTACGTATGGCGCAGGTGCCCATCGCGCATTGTGAGTGGAGTGGCAAACAGGGCAATTAAATAAACACTTTGTCCCACACCAACTACTTACAACAACACTAAAAGTACTACTACTTTCTTTAACTCTCATCCACCGCGGGCCTTCCGTCCATTCTCCATTTTCCCTTTCAGCTCTCTTCTGAGTTCTCTGCTGGGTCCCCAGAACTAGCCACAAGTGTCGGGCCAATACATCCTGAACTATTTCGACTTATTTTCCCTTTCGACTTCTGTTTCAGCTGCTTTGGACCAACATTATCCCCCACAACTCACCACTTGCGTGGACTGCTTATCTCCCAATGATGCAGCATTTGACCCGCCACTCCTGAACTGGTCTGCAGCCCATCCGCTGCAGAACCGAACATGAAAAGCAAATATCGTCAGAGAAACCAAATCATGATTTCTACACACAGAGGACAGAAGTTTAAAAAAAAAAAAAAGGAAAAAAAAAAAAAAAGAAAAAAAAGAAGAAAAAAAAAAAAAAAAAAAAAAAAAAAAGAAGTGTTCGAATAACAGAGTTCGAGGAATGTCCAGCGCGTCGGAACCGTCAGAGGAATGAGAACATGTTCCAGCAGAGTGGTTCTTCTCCCCGTTGGACATTTCTACTGCTTGGCTATTTTTCCGCCCTGATTTAGGGGGGCAAAGTGTCTCTGCCTCGACTTTATAAATCAGCCCCCATGGCTCAATTGCCACGAATAGTCCCAAGCTTTTGAGATCCGACCTTGCATGTTACCGACAACTTTGGTCATTGTGACCCTATCCCGTCTCTGTGGCTTAAATGTTTGGTTTCTTATTGCCATTGGAGCCTTTCCCTTGATGCCGATCTATGCGCGGCTTTCCACCATATCTAGCTTTCAACGTTATTCTTTCTTTTTCGATTGACATTGAAACATTTGTACTTGTTGTTTTATTTATCTTCGTCTCCTTTGATATTTATACTCTTAAGCCCATTGCTTCACTTTTGCATCGTTATCCAGTCTAGACTTCGGCCCGTTTTCACTTCCTGCATCTGGGTACTTACTCAATCCATACTAGGGCCCTAAAAAGTGCCAAGTTGGATTTGGATGCTTGAAGGACAGAACTCCCTTGCTTCTGGTCTTGGGGCACCGGATACCCGCCATCATTAACACCTTACTTATTGATAGTCTCTCTCTTCTCCTTTCTCGTGTTACACTCACTCGGACCCAATTTTCTATGCTCACGCTGCTAAAGAATCCGGAAACCGCGTGTGTAGCTTGTCGGCGCCTCAGAAGCTGACATTAGAGAATTAGGGAAAAGGCAAAAGAGCCAGGACTCTATCACTATTTTCTTTTTATTTCTCCACAAGGGCAGTGAGCAACAGGGTCAAATTGATTGTCACAAAAAGGACGAAGGAAGGAGGATTTCCCTTTATAAACCGACTGGACCGTGTGGTCTTTTAAGGAACAATATGCCTCCAGCCAGTTCGTCGTTTACGGCATTGAATTTGCCAGAAACATTTTCTCTCCCACAATGCATGGAATATTTTACCCTCACCGCTGGTCCCAATACCGATCTCTGGAGGAAGCCCCCAAATGGCGACACATCCACAGCACCCATTGTATTCACGTCACTGCGAAATCCATTTATACTGGCGGAAGTGACTGTTAGTGCGGACTGGGAAATGGAATGGGATCAGGGTGGTCTGGTGATTTTTGCCGGAGCCGCACCGCAATCCTGCTCGTCCGAAAGCGTCCCATTGGATTCCGCAACGCGATCGAGTCGCTCGGGATACCCCCAGATCGCACGACCGTGCAAATGGGTCAAGGCGGGTATGGAGTTTAGCTCGGGCACCCTCAACGCCTCTTCGGTCAGTGCAACTGCGGATGGAGCCGATTGGTGTCTTTCACCGCTCAGCCTCCCTGACAGCGGGCCATCAACTGTGCAGTCGCTGCGTATCAAATTAGAGCGGATCGGCAACTCCCTCTGGATCTGGTACCAGATCCCATCCGCCCTTCCCTATGCCCTGACGCCGAGCGCAGTGAGCAGCACGTGGAAGAAGCTACGGGAGGTGACATGGTTCTTCTACGGCGTTGAAGACAAGTTTATCCATGTCGGAGTTTACGCGAGTCGGCCGAATAACATATCTCGCAACAGCACCATGTGGGAGATGATGAACGGTCCGATCTTGAGCGAGTCTGCAGTCGGCTCTCAGGACTCTTTGGTGGTTGAGTTCGAAGATTTAGAGATATACTAACGACGCTTGGCCCTTCACGCCCGATAACATTCCATCTGTGTTTCTCCCTTTGCAATTTAATCAGCGCGGCCACGACCCACGAATGGCTTATGAACCCACGACTCTATGTTTTGCGCCGCTGGTTGGGCTCAACATGTTGAGTCATCCTTTTTTTTTTTTTTTTTTTTTTTTTTTTTTCGATATTTGTCTTGAGGATACGGTGTCAGGCATACAGAGGAGCATGATGAGCGTACAGGTGTTTTCCTATCATTCTGTTCCATAGTTTTTTTTTTGATGTATAGCGTTCCCTTTGAGATTGAATTCAAAACTTCGTCTTGATCTTTTAATATCAACTTGATTGGACACCGACAATTCTGATGACAGACCGGCTACCCCTGGGGATGAGTCAAAGCAAAGATCCGTGACAAAAGATCATAGACTATAGTTAATTTGTTGAATATGCATGATCTGCAGCGGGGTTCACGAGAGAGCATTGATCCTCGTTGGAAAATGACAATTTGGGGCCAGGGTGAGGCAAAGGGCAGGAAAGTTCAGTCGTTTATACTTCGGCCAGACGATCACTGGGCACTAAACCCAAGTGAGTAGCCAGCGCAGAAGGATAAAGTTACGTCCATTGAAAAACATCATCCTCGGAATAGAGTTGGTTAGGCTGCAATGGGACTAGACGGAGCTCACATCACTACATTGTCACGGGGTAAGGGTATATCATAAATCCAATGCCTCTTGGGAAATTGCTACGACGGGTGGAAAGCAGGAGGTTGTTACACCGCAGGGAAATAATTACCGAGGGACATAAAAATCATTCCACGGCTCTGGAAGCAGTGGTTGCTCCACTGAGTCACCCAAGGGATGGGGGGGGGGGGGGGGGGGGGGGGGGGGGGGGGGGGGGGGGGGGGGGGGGGGGGGGGGGGGGGGGGGGGGGGGGGCCAACACCGCAACGAAGAAAAGACAACAATGACATTCGCAATTGGTATACTGGATTTCTATGACATAATAATTGGTATAGGAGGGTGGACGACTGGCAATGATTTGATATTCTACTGGTTCTAGCACATTCAGACAGGTAGGATTGGTTATCGGTATCAACCATTTCTTGAGGAAGCCGAGGGATTGTGATAAAAAAAAAAAGAAAAAGGCAAAGCAAGAGAGGAGTCCAATCTCGATGTCCCGCCTTAGTGCTGCAGATGTAATTTAGATTGCATCGCCCCGGTTTGCGGCATGAGTCTCCAGGCGGACAAGAATCGTAGGCACGTAGATCTTTGAGGATTGGACCATGTCGTCGTATTTCCAATCCCTTCCGAGAGGATGATATGATTTTCGCAGTTTATAGTGAGCCGAGTGGAGTCCGTAGCGGAGGGCGACTAAACCAGATGGAGTAGAGGAATAATGGTGCCATGACTGCACTATGAGTCTAGTCAAGATAGTTCTCCACTGTGTTTTTTTCTCCTACGCGATCCGGCAAGCAGAATTTTAATTTCTATTTGTTCGTCTTATGAAAATTTCCCTCATCAGCCGACGAGAGGATGATCTGATTTCGGCCAATGTGCACAACATCCGTTATCATTGCATATGGCGCTGTACATCACCAAGGCAATAACTGGCTAGATATTTACCCACTGCCTACTAGTACTAAATCTGTTTAAGAACATATTTTATGCTGTTCCCGTGATTGGCGCCGTCCACTCACCGCATTTTCCAGTCGGTAACCAGTGACGTACAGAGTCGATGGGATCACGCAGGCATCGAAGATCTGCAGATAATTTTAATGCGTGCCCTCCATGCGAACCGTCCGGAGGAGTAAGCAATGTATCTAGGTTTTGTCTATCTTCCAACATGATTCAATTGGTGATATCTTCAGATTCATTGAACGTGGTCCCTGCATTCCTCGTATCAGTTCTCCTTCATGAATAGAGCGCTTTTATTCTTGATTCTTTTTCGTTTTCTTCGTAAACATTTGTCTCTTGACTCTATCCCCCTCCCGTAAAGCTTATGCTGTATATATCCATGCGACATAGAAGAACGAATTAAAAAATGAAAAAGCAAAAGCAAAACAATCCCCCATCCCAGACGGGAGTGAAATCAGTATCACTGTGACAACTACTTTGCTGCCCCGCCAAACTAATCCCTAAGTTAACGGCCATTCGGCCACTAGCGGGAGTTCAGTCCCTCCATCAGTCGACCTCACTAACCATCTTCGTCCGAAATTCTCCCTCCTCCATCCTTGAGTGGGGACCCTTCTGTTTTTTTTTTTTTATTATTTTTTCCCTTTTCCTTTTCCTTTTCCTTTTTTTTTTTATGTTACCCATGATTGACTCTGTCTTTCTCCTTTCCTCTCTCCTTTCTCTCTTCTCCCCCTCCTCAACTGATTAACTATCTTACTATTATCATACATCTCTGTCCCAATTGTGAGATTGGTTTGATCATCAATCAAACTCATACATCTCTGATCTGACCAATCCCACCTCTACCGCCCCTCCAGAGTTTCACCTCCCTTACCTCTCGCAACCCTATTACCCGATCCAATTGTCTGGGAGGCCTCTTCTCGTTTGGTTCTTCGTTTCCTTTTATTTTCTGTATATTATTCCATCGATCCACTCGGTATCCCTGTTGTGTAATTGTTCCTTTAAAGCCTCTTTTGCGCTTTGATCTGTTGTTTGATACTTAACGACTGTTACGACCTTGACGATCACAACAATGGTGGAATCCATTACTGAGACTGTCACCATCTCTGTCCGTCGTCCGACTGATACCCCTACCATCTTCGTCGCCGGTACCTTCTCAGAACCTCAATGGGAGCCATTGGAACTGAGCGTTAAGACGATAGAGGTCGAATCGGAATTAGACCCGGGCCTCTACTCGACCGAGTACCTGTTCTTCCGGGATTTCCAGCTGGCTCCGGGGCAATACCAGTACAGATTCCGAGAAGGCGCGACTGGCTCGTGGTTTCACGATGAGTCTGTAAAGAACGGTAAGTTCGATTCGGCTTTTACGTAATGATCTCGGGAATAGCAGCATGGCTAACCAATGCTTTGGAATCATAGCTTCTGGAACGGAGGGCCTGGTCAACAATTATCTTACCGTCAAGCCTGCGGCCGAGCAGGAGACTCCGGTCCAGAATGGTGCCAGTGACAAGGCGGAGGAGAGCACAAAGGAATCTGAGTCTGAAGCTTCGACAAAGGCCCAGCCGGTAACAAATGGCGTCCACAAGTCGAATGGTGTCAATGGAGACGCTGGGCACGAAGCCCCTGTGGCCGATGAGTCTCCCGCCGAGGATCAGCAGACCGAACAAGTCCCCGAGAAACCTGTTGAGACTGATGCCAAAGCAGAGACCGAGGCAGAGCCGAAGGAGACTCTTTCCAATAGCACTAAGGAGCCAGAAGTCAACGGAACTGAACCCACCGCGCAAATCTCCGAGAGCAAGGAGGAGCCCGTGGCCGAGGAGAAGTCGGAGCCGGTGGTAGAAAAGCCCGAGGAGAAGGTGGCTGAACCTCAGGCTGCGGTGGAGAAGGAGGACACCAAAAAGAAGCCCGAAGAAGTTCCAGTCATCTCTACCCAGGAGGAGACGCCGGTCGTGAATGGCGATGCTAAGCTCGAGGCTGAGAAGCAACCGAAGGAATCCCAGCCGCAGAAGGTTGCCGAAGAAGCACCAGTGAAACCCGAGGAGCCTGCTTCTGAGACATCCACACCCGAAGTCACGGCTAAAGAATCCCCCGCTCAAGAATCGAAGACCGAGAAACCCATCGCCACCGAGTCCACTGCAGCTGAAACCACTACAGAGCAGCCCGTCACCGAAGCACAACCGACAGTGGAGGAGACCCCAAAGGAGCCCGCCACAGAGCCTGCCGAGACAAAACAGGCGGAACTTACTTCTGAGGAACCCGCCAAGGAGGATCCGACCCCCGAAGAACCCAAGGAAGCTCCCACCGCGGAAGAGCCAGTGAAGGAATCCGTTAAGGAGCAGACGGTACCGGAACAGCTCAAAGAGACGGTCTCCGAGAAGCCCGCTGCTGAAGACGCCGTTAAGGAAGAGATCCCCGAAGAACTGAAGGAGGCATCCGCCACCGAGAAGCCAGCTGAGAAGCTTGACGAGTCGGAGAAGGCTCCTGTTCAAGAGGAGATGGTGGTGGAAGAGCCTAAGGAGACGACCAAAGAACCCGTCAAGGAAGAGACAACTCCTGTAAAGTCGGAAGAAACAGCCGCCACTGAAACGCTTGTGGCTGAAGAGCCCGCTGTCGAAGAACCGGTCGAGGAGAAGTCGGCGCCGGAAGAGCCTAAGGACACATCCACCGCTGAGCCAGCCGTTGCGGAAGAACCAGTGAAGGAGACCGCTAAGGAAGAGCCAGTCCCTGAAGAGACCTCTGAGCCTGCTACCTCTGAGCCAGCCGTTGCTGAAGCACCAGCGAAGGAGCCTGTCAAGGAAGAACCGGTCCCTGAAGAGACCTCTGAGCCAGCCGTTACTGAAGAACCAGTTAAGGAGACTGTCAAGGAAGAGCTAGTCCCTGAAAAGACCGAGGAGCCTGCCACTGAGCCTGCCGTTGCTGAAGAACCAGCGAAGGAGCCCGTCAAGGAGGAGGCAGTATCAGAGGCATCTAAGGAGACACCTGTTGAGGAGCCTACTACTAACGACACTGCTGCTCAGGATAAGCCGTCTACCAAGGAAACTGTTGCTGAAGCGGTGAAGGAGGTCCCCGTTGTCGAAGAGTCTAAGGAGACTCTGTCCACTGCAACTCCAGACGCTCAGGGATCAGTTGCTCAAGAACTCACTACCGAAACCTCTGCCACTGAAGATGTCCCCAGCGAATCCACGAAGGAGGCAGGCGCCGAGAAGGCAGTGGAAGAGCCAACCGCGGAGAAACCCACAACTGCCGATGTTGTAGCAGAGGAACCAGCGAAGGAGACAGCAACAGAAAAGACCGAAGTCGAGAAGCCTGTCGTTGAAGCACCTGTTGAAGCCGGTTCCGAAGCACCGGCAAAGGAGTCTGTTCCAGAGAGCACTACGGCTGAGGCTGCTGTCGAAACGGAAGAATCGCAACAGCCTGCCGAGGAAACTTCTGAGCCAGCCGCCCAAAAGCCGGTAGAAGAGACCAAGGCTGAGCCTGCTTCGGAAGAAACCACTACGAAGGAAGAGGTTGCTCAATCCTCTGTCGAGGGAAAACCCGCCGAAGAGGTCGCACAGGTGTCTTCTGCGGAAGAAAGCGAGAAGGCTGTTGCCGAAGCCACCGAGGAAGAGGGAGTTCCAGAGGAAACCTCTGCGAAGGCGCCTGTTGAAGTGGAGGCTACACCTACTGAGCCTGTCGTTGAAGAAACAACCGCTGAGGAGCCAGCTAAGGACTTGACGAAGGAGGAACCGGCTACACAGGAACCTGTCTCTGAAGTGCCCACTGCTGAGGATTCGACAACGAGGGAGGCAGCTGAGGAACCCATCAAGGCGTCAGGCCCTGAAGAGGTGGTAGAAGAGCCTACAGCGGAAGAAAAACCCGCCGAGGTCACCGAGCAAGAGACTAAGGAGCCAGTCACCGAAGAATCTAAGGAGGTGAAGCCTGCTGCTGAGGAAGCGACTCCCGAAGAGCCCGTTAAGGAAACTCCCGTTGTTGAGCAACCAGCTGAGTCCGAGCCCGCCAAGGAAGCCGAACCCGTGAAGCCCACCGTAGAGGAGCCTGTTAAGGAGCTCGCTACTGAAGTGGCTGCTGTCCAAGAGCCCACTCCTGTCGAGCAACCTGTTGAGCAGCCTGCTGCTGTCAAGGAATCTGTCGCTGCTGAGCCTTCTACGGAGGAGCCTGTTGTGGAAGAGCCCGCCAAGGAATCTGAGCCCGCGACTGAATTGTTGTCTACTGAAGAGCCCACCACGAAGCAAACGGCCGAACCTGAGCCAGTTGAGCAGCCGGTGGCGGAAGAAAAGTCTGTAGATGACTCCACTGGAAAGCCAGCAACTGAGGAGGCAGTGACTGAAGAACCGGTCCCAGAACCAGCTGAGAAGGCCGTGGTTGCCGAGACGCCTGCTACCGAGGAGGTCGTTGAAAAGGCCTTTACCGAAGAGCCTGTCAAGGAGCCTGTCTCGGAGGAGCCGGTCGCTGATAAGTGTGCTGAGCAGCCGGCTTCGTCGAATGTGGTCGAGGAGACTGCTGAATCTTCTAAGGCTGTTGTCCCTGAGGAAAACACCTCGAACGAGGTTGAGCCTACTGTGTCGCAGTCCCATGAGGAGAAGCAGGAAGAGGCGACTGAGCTACCTAAGGAGGAGACTGTTGCAGCTGAGCCTGTGGCTGTTGAGACCTGTGCTGAGCAGAAGGCCTCAGAGACTGAACCTGAGGTTGCACCCAAGGCTGAAGCTGAAGAGGCTGTGACCACTCAGAAGGAGGAGCCTACCAGCGAGCCAGCAGCAGCAGCAGCAGCCCCTGCTGAGGCTGAGAAGGAGGAGCCTGTATCGGCTTCTTCTGGCGAGTCTCCTGTTGAGAAAGAGAGCACTGAAACAGCTGAAGTCATCCCTGAGGCTACGAAGGAGGATGCTCCTGAACAGGATGGAAAGGATGGCGTCTCAGCCGAGCTGATTGGTGCCGGTACTGCGGTGGCAGCTGCTGCCACCGCAGGCGCTGTTGCCGTAGGACTGGCTGTTTCATCCCACAAGGACAAGGAGCCAGAAACCGCGTCTGCGGATAAAAGCTCCAAGTCTGTGGAAGAGTCTCAACCCAGCAAAGGCAAGGACGAGGCTGCCAGTCCTGCTCCTGAGTCTCAACCATCAGCCAGTAAGGAAGCACCATCGCCTACTTTGAAGAAGCCTGAAACTGATATCAATGAACCACGTTCAGGATCCGAAGAGCCAGCTGCGTCAACTAACGAACCATCCACTTCCGCCGGGCCCACTACTGCGACAGAAACCACTGCTGACAAGGCTATGGCTCAGAAGGGTGACACCTCTCGTTCTCCAAGCCAGACTCGGGCCGTTACTCTCAGCAATGCCAAGAATGATGGCTGGTTGAAGGTCATCCTTCGCGCCGTCTTCGTCAACTTCTTTGGAGCCATCTTCTCTCCTTTCCGCCGTCGCCCCAGGAACGACCAGTAAATCTGCAGTGTGAATATTCCTCGCACTTCTTCCATGCATATCATCACCGACTCCTATGGGATTTGAAAGTGTGTCCTTGACTCTTTGTTACTAATTAATGCATCTGTTTAGCATGCATATACCCGGCTTTGTTGACCAAGCTTCTTGTCACTCATTTTGCTCGCCTTAATTTGATTCCCCTGTATTTGACTTGTGTGCTTTATCAATTCAGCTTATTGTTATCTGTCCTGTTCATTTTATTTCTCCTCTCCAGAATGTGTCGATTATTGTCCGCGAGTCTGTTGTGCCAAAGCTGATAGTAGTTAACAAAACTTGTTTTGTTTTGCCGTCGATTTACGTTTACCAGTATGTAGTGATGCGATTATGATTGATGATAAATGAAGATTGAAGATTATTTCAACGGGTTTTGTTCTTGGACTGTGTCTACTCCTTCGGATAAGCCTGCTCCTATCACATCAACGAATTGAATACGGTCAATCCGTAACAAAATTGCAAGAAGATAGAAGAGGTAGCAACCAGGAGATAAGCTGTTGAAATGCAAACATTCAAGTAACTGAAAGATGCCCATTCTTCCTAGCGAATCCTGTCTCCAAAAGTCATATCCAACTTGGACACAACTTCGTCCCGCAACGACTTCATAGGTTATTTGATCCTTTGGCCTGCCCTAACATCCATTCTCGTTCATACACTGCGCGGCTCTTAAGTTGGTGGAGATCTACATAAGAATGATATCTTGTTTCTTGTGGGGGGTCCTCCCGGATACATACGAAGTAGATATAACAGGAGTCAATCACCAGCGTCTTTCTATTATTCGAGTAAGAAAGAAAGTAGATTGAACCTCTCTCCAGAAACGTATATTCGCTCTCAATGTCCAAGACCAAACTGATATCAAGATATCTAAAGGGTCTTGTACGTTACATACATATCCCACGCCTTATCCCAGACAGAAAGCAAGGCTGTTTCTGACAGAGATGCCAAAAGGGGAAGAAAAAGTAAAGACAAGCCCCGAACTTCAAACCCCCGAACCCGTAGCTCTAGTGAACATGAGTAGGGAGTAAGAGAAAATAGAAAAAGAAAAGGGAACAGCCAATTCCATGTGCGTCACTTGGGGGTTTGTGTGAGTGAAATTCACGTCTCGCGCTGTGGCGCGTGCCCCAGCAACACAACACAGTGAAGGCACCAGCTTCGCCACATACAAATCTTGTTTACTTGTGTGTTTCTCGTAGTGAAAGAGCAACACCTGGAAGTTGATTTCCTCAAAGCATCTCGCGACATGACAGACCAAAGTAACTGCAATAGAACAACAACGCACTGACTTCTTGTTTTTCAAGTATCTCGCTTGCTTTGGTGATTATCTTTGACTAGCTGTTTCGTTAAACTTCACTGTTCGTCATGACAGATTGTGGTAAAGATCAGGAGGCTCAGACTAGATCTGAGTCTGAGGATAAGGAGTTGAAAGAGAGACCCAAGGTCAAACTGCCTCTGGTGCCCACCATGCCTGGCAATGCCTGGTCGCAGATGAGGGCTCGTGAGCAAGAACGTATTCGTGAAAGGGAGCTGCATAAGTTGGAGTTTGGTGAGTTGGGGTATGACCCTAATACCGGTATGTTATGTCTTCCCTCTATTTTCGCTGTTGGCTTGACTTTTCTGAAGTGAGTAGTGATAACTCGTCCAACCGCGTCCTATTCTTCAAGATCTAGTACAATGAGGAAATCGTCTGGACTAGATTACGACGAGGCTCTCGCCCTCCCGATGCCTAAGCCCCGTCTTATAGGTGTCAGTAGTTCTGCTCCTGTGCTTGAGCCGACGGTTTCAAAGCCAAATGTCCTCACAAAGTTGAGTGGTTTGAAGAGACAGGGCGCTACGGAGCCCCATCCTGGTGATAAGGGTGCGGATACAAAGGTTGAAGGTGAAAAGAAAAAGTCCATGATCGCGACGCTGAGATCGAGACTCAGCTTCAAGGAGCTTGGTAAGGAGTTTCGTAAAGCTCAAGATCCTCCACTTAGCACTATGCCTCGACTGCCACCGAGTGTTGGAATTCCACAGGTCGAAAAGATCAAACAATCGCCGCCTGGGTCTTTTGACTTCGATGAGGAAAGGCTATATATCCCCAAGCGCAGAGATCCTGGAGTGCACCCTGCATCTGCTCCAGTCCAGGCCACTAGGTTTTCGGACCCAGGTAGCTTCGAGAGCTCTAAACAGAGCACCTCATCCTGCCCTGCACAGCAGGCTAAGGGTGATGGCAAGCTTGATGCAATAACTCTTAAAGACACACAGAAACAACATCGGCCTTATCACAAAGTGGGAAACGTGGAGCCTATGACACGCCTTGACACTGTCCTGATTGACGGCTCATCTCCTCTAGCTAGCACAGGCGATACCAGCAGGAGCCACCCGGCGGTTGTCGATGCGGAACAACGCTATATCAGTATGAAGGTGGATATCGAACCATCAGTTCCCTCTAAGTCAAATACTGATGCCACCTCTATTATGAGTCCAGCTTCAACATCCAACGAACCAAAAGGTGTTGCACCAATGTCCTCGCCGTGCGAACGCAAACAGAGCAAGGTGGAGAAAAGTCGTCCGCTAGTCGTCTCATCGGATCAGCAGAGGCCACTGTCTGTCAGAACACAGGACCAAACTGAAGTAACTACTCCGTCCGGACAGTACAACAGGCGCTCATCCACTAGATCACGGGAGCAACAAGCCTCAACCCCTGGACAGGCTGAACCTGTTTTCGACCCAACACATATGAGGATGCCCTTCGATCCTCAGCTCCCGATGGATGATCCTCGTTTCTACTCTGGCGCGACGACTCACGGAGGTTATGCTCCTCCTCCACCGCACCCGGGCTACCAAAACACAGTAACGCTGGAGCAGCAGATATCCACCTACATGGATTCGCTTCACATCCACGTTGACGGCACAGCCAACAAACTTGCCCGGTCATTCGAAAACAACAGCAACTGGTCAACGGATCAAATCCTGAGGCACACAGGGCATCTGTCGGATCTCATGCGCAAGCTCAATGCCCGAGTGATGAGCGACACTGAAGTGACGAGAGAGCTGCAGCGGGTCATGATGGAGGTAAAGATTCAAGTCGGTGCTATACAGCGTGAGCAGCACCAGATGGAAGACAGGATGACACAGCTCTTCCAGAGTGAGTACAACAAACTGAAGGGCGAGATTAACGTGTTGGCCTCGACTGTAAGGTCCACTCTCCCCTACAACCCAGCACAGGATGCAAGATCCATGAATACCAGGTTGCAGGGGAGCCGAGATGTCATCAGATGGAGTAAAGACAACGAAAGGCCACAACAGTTCAGGAAGATGAAGTCACGTCAGATGAGGAAAGGAGATGTGGTGACAAAGAACACGGACAGCAGAGGTGGGGAAGAACACAACTGTGAATCTGTCGCACTGAACAAACACGCCGAGGAACACATGCTTACTGATGATGTTCCAACACCTATGGCAGCCTTTCCCACTCCAAGTTTCCATGGCGATGACAGGAAAGATCACTTCACTGAGCCTCACTCCAGAAGACCCATTCTGAAAGACCCGAGCACAGGATCCACGGGGAGTCCAGAACCTCTGCACAGCAGCTCCGCTAAAGGCAAAGGAAGAACTGCTAGCAGTCAAACTCTTGTTCACAAAGCAAGCGCTGAAATCATGAAGTTTCCAGCTAAGATGGGCCTTTTCTATCCTTTCCGCCGTGGCCGTGATCGGCGTAGCAGCGAAAGCAAAATCGCAAGCCGCTCTTTGCCTCCTACCAAGCGCAGCAAAGGTGATAAAACTTTTGAAGGGCCAGAGTCCATGAAGCAAGAACCACTTCCATTTACACCCGCCATGCAAGCAAGCGCTATTTCTACTACTGGGGCAGAGCATCGCCAGGTGGAGATTAGCCCCAGCAGAGTTCATCCCGCTCTGCGCAATCTTGCTCAGCAACAGATCATGGCAGAACGTGAGCGCCTCGATACTCAGGACAACATGACAGCCCGGCAGCTCCTACGGTCCTCCCAATCCTTTCAGGATCTAAATTCTCGTTCCAGAAATGCTGCATCGTTTGATTGGATTGATAGCTCAATCGAAAGTCCTTCGGAGTCCACAAGTCGCAGTCAGAACCAGCAGGATCTCGCTATGGGATTCCCTGCTCTTTCAACAGCCCCGCTCCGCTCGTCTTCTAGAGCAGATTCACCATTAACAGCTTTCGCTGAAGCACGGATGTCTCAGGCTTCAAATGTTTCTTTTGGTTACCGTGGCCCGACCCCTCCTCCCAGAGAGTCTGAAGCGAGCGAGTCGAGCCTACCAACCTGGTATCAGGCAGCCTACGCATACAAGCCCATCGAAAAGCCAGAGGACGATTGATATGAAACTATCGGTTCATAGTAAAATTACTATTTGCTTTCAAGCATTTCACGCCGTGACGATTTCATTTCTTCAATAGTCTATTGGGCTGGAACCTTGGCCGGGGTAACTGCGTATGATATGACTTGGCGCACTAAGATGGTCGTTTGGGGGTTTGGTACTCAAGGGGTATTGGCGTTTGTTATTGAACGGAAGGGGATAACATTGGATGGTTTAACAGGACAAAAGTTGGGACCAAAAGTCGGTAATGGTGTGAGATTTCATTTCAGATTGACGCTTGCAGTTGACCTGCTCACGTGTTCTAAGATTACCGGGTATCATGATCTGGCTAACCAAAAAGAACAAAAAAAAAAGACATAAAAAGGACATAAGAGACAAAGAAGAGGAAACATTTCAGTTTATGGATTAAACATGAGGAATATGTTCTTTTAAATGGCAATGAAATGTCATGTGGATACATTGCAGATAGCCATAATGACAATACTTTACTTCCTCGAGATCATCTTCTCCATGTCCATGGCAGCATCCCGGACTTGGGGACAGTAGTGTAGTCGCAGTAATTCTCCTTCCCATACCGTCCCAGCAAAGACATTGGTTGCTTCTATATCTGTTGCGTAGGGATTGTATACACCATCGCCTTTACGTTCCTCACTGTACCACAATGAAGAGATACGATTTGCGTGATGCTTCGTTACCTGGTTTAGAAGGGAAAGCGTGGCAATAGCGGACTTCTCAGGGACCTGGAGCGATGTCGTCAGGAGTCGTTTAGTGAAGCTACCAACACGCACCGGAGGTGGTATTCCTTGTGCGCGGGACAACAGTGTGGACTGAAGGCAGCGGAGCAGCAGAACTGTCGGAGTCTGAAAGTTGACCTTGTTCCTCGACTTGAATTGCTCCGTCGAGTTGTTATCATCTGGATCGGGGAGCCGAAGAGATTTGTTGGGGTTGAATTCAATGTCAGGGTTGATCGAGTGAGAGTATAGGGAGCGATAAAGATGCTTGATAAAAAAGCTTAGGTCAAGATGAAGTGTACCTGCCGCCTTGCTAGCATCCTGTCCTTGAAGGAGCGCAAAGGCAGTGACGGTACAAAGGAGGGCTTCGCGCTGAGAATCTCTTGATGCTGTCGTGGATTCAGGATCCTCATCCTCCACGTCGTTGTCTTCAAATTCGTCGCGATCAGCGTGCCCGATCAAGTCCTTCAGAGCTTCGAGTAAGTCGCCAAAGAAATCCTGGTTGATCAGATGCGCGTATTTAGCAAGGCCCTCGAGTACCGGGCCCATGAGAGTAGGAATGCGGAGTTTCAGAATGCGGAAGTAAACCCCAAACACAAGCTTCAAGGTCTCCGCTTGGTTCTTATCTCTTTCCTCGTGGGATACTAAGGCGTCGGCTTCCTTCATATCCTTCTCCACGGCTTTCCGCTCCTTTTGGATCTTGCGCTCCCGTTTAGTGCGGAATTCTTTCTTTTGCTTCTTCTTCCCACGGAATGTATTCTCCTCTGGCTCACGGTCAACCCGATCCCTTGATGCCTTGGAAGAGAATTCGGAGAGCAGCCGGAGGTGTAGGAAGGTGTCCAGGACGCTTTCGTTGATTCTAAATTCCTTCGCCTTCATCATCTTCGACAGGAGACGAACGGCTTCAAGGGAGACGACTCCGTCCTCATCTCTTGCGAAGACTTCTTCGATTGTTTCCCGGCATTTGACAAAATCAGCATCCACTTGTCTCCTTGCGAGCCGGTTGACAAGAATTTTCAAGAGCTCCCCGCGAAAGTTAAAATGCGGTACGGAAAGGAGCATGTTGCAAGCACAGTTGATCGCAATACTTTTTAAACTAGGGTCAACTTCCTCCTGTGAAGCTTTAGACGGCTTGGTAAGCTCAGTCAACTTCTGAACGTAGTGTTTATAATGTGAAAGAAGCGACTGTTCGTAGTTTTGCAGTTTGCGCACTTCTTTCGATAACTTAGAAGACATTTCTCCATCACTGAGAGGCCGGATGCGGTAGCCCGGGATCACGTCCTTAAATATGGCGGCTTGCGAGGCAAGAGCTAGCTTCTTGATGGCAACGTGCGCGCCGTTATTAACCATTTCAGCCATTGTTTTGAAAGAGCCAAGATGTTCCTCCGGGTCTTCATTGATCAAAGTCGCCAGCTTTGCAAGTTCTTCTTTCGCCTGTAAGATCTGCAATTTCATCGGAATTTTGGGCTTCTCCTCCTCCGCAGGTGTTTCCTCATCCTCGTCCATGTCAGCTTCGGCGTTGGAGGCTACATCCTCCTCATCGTCATCGGTGCCAAGGAAACTGTCAGACTCTTCAGGCTCCGGTTCCTCAATGTTTTGCAAACCCTCCGCGGTTTTGATAGGTAGCCTTGTCCTCTCCTTATCATTTTTGCCCATCTTGCGCGGACGGCGCTCGTAGTCTTGTTCGAGATCCCATTCGGAAGCGTTGCTGTAGAAGTTGTTTAAGGCTGAGCCCTTGGAGGTTTTCGAGGTGCCATTGCCTTCATCACCAGGAGGACTCAAGCGTCTCCTTTTATTCGTGCGTCCTGGAGCCATGACGATTTAATCGAGCAACCGAATTGTCGTGGTGAGGGTCGATGGTTGGTTTTGAGCGGTTCCCGTCCGAAACTTTTTTTTTTTTCTTTGCGGTGCCAAGACTTATGCCAAAAGCTCTCCACCTTAAACTTTTCTGGATTTTTTGTCCGCGGAGCTTTTCTTCGACTGCGAACAACCCGCATCAATCACTCAAAATGCGTCAACTCACTGAACAAGAGACAAAAACGCTTTTCGAAAAGCTGGCCAACTATACTGGTCGTTCGTTGAACAATCTTATTACTACATCCGATGACCCCAATGACCGATATGTATTCCGTCTCCATGGAAATCGTGTCTATTATATGAAACTGTCCTTGGCCAATCTTTCGACAGCCATTCCTCGCGCAAACCTTCTCTCACTTGGTACCTGCATCGGAAAGTTTACCAAGAGTGGTCAGTTTAGGCTGCACATCACTGGTAAGATCTCTATCAACTTTTAGCGATCAATGAACAGATCTCTGACTTCTACAGCTTTGGATGTGATTGCTCCCCACGCGAGATACAAGGTCTGGATCAAACAGAACGGAGAGATGCCCTTCCTGTACGGTGGAAATGTGGTAAAGGCACACGTCAACAGGTGGTCAGACGATTGTCCAGAACACGCAGGTGTTGTTGTTTTCAACTCCAATGATACTCCTTTGGTAAGACAGGCGTTGGCACAGAGAATATGGCGGTATAAGTTACTAACACTGTCTCAGGGCTTTGGAGTTACTGCCCGGTCTAGCGCCGAAGCGAGGAAATTGGAGCCAACAGCCATTACCGTGTTCCGCCAGGGAGATATAGGAGAATACCTGAGAGAGGTGTGTTGCATCTTAATTGTGGAAGTCCTTGCACACATCGCAGCTTACTGACTTTTTCCTAGGAAGATACTCTCTTTACGACGTAAAGGAAAATCGTTGCATACGCGGGATCATTCATGGAATTTGGATGCTAGATACCTGGGGGTTCTCGCAGGAGTTCTGGAGTCATCTGTCTGTTTCAATAGAAAAGTTTCTACCTTTATTCTTCAACATACTGTATCCATAATCATATGCGATCACAACAGCCCGTTTCCTCCTAGCCTAAACCCAACTATATTCTTTCTAACGATTCCAGATATGTCGTCTCCCATGACATTTCAAGTACTTGGTTCAATAACTATGTAGACTTTCATCCCTATGCAGAAGGAGTAGTTTGAGGCTTATTGGTGGGGAAGGATGGGACGCTGATGGTCACACAGCTTGCCGCTTTAATATGAGGAAATAGAGGTTATTCCAAATTTTAACATACAAAGCATGTATAAGTGCTTCAAAGCGTCTGAACAAATGATGTGCAAAAAGTTTTTAACTGCTCGTTGCAATAAGTTATTTGGAAATAATCAGTCCATGTATTAATTTATACTGCGGGGCACGTGCATTTATCAGTGATCAGTCAGCTCTTTCAAAAGCGACAATGCGAACTTTTGCATCTAATCAGCCATAGTTGTGTCTACTACATTTCTCAGAATCTCTACTGCGCTGAACAATTACTGGAATCTCTAATCTATCGCTACTCTTATTATAAATTTCACTCGCCCTCACATTCCTTGTTCAGGTTTAGCACTCGATAGAAGAGCGTACCTGAAGGCCCGTCTGCACCCCACCATGCCACCTTACTCGGGTCTCCAGAGGCAACAAATAGCCCAGTTTATGAACTTTACACAAGCAAAGGATGCAGTAGCTGCCAAGGTATGATCTTCCTTTCATTATTATACCACACGCATTGTTGGTCTCAAGTCGTACATATAACTTTCCATGTCACGTGCGATAATCAAGGCCCAAAGCTGATGTTTCGTTTATAGTTCTTAAAAGCTTCAAGGTGGAATGTCGAAGAAGCCATTGATGCGTAAGTTGCCTGAGATATTCCATTTCTTTTGTTCTCGTCTTGTCCCTCCCTTGATCCATGGCTGGACCTCTACTTTTTTCTGGGCTTTGCAATTCCGCCGTACTGCAGTGTGGAAATGCCAGGCTCTCTTGTTGCTTGCCGAATGACTGGGCGGTTTGGGTGCGTCGGTCTTTACTGGCTATGCTCTTTTCAGTCGCAGCAAGCCGTCGCCCGCCTTTGGCCAGTAAACGGGCAACTGGAGATAGCTTGTCAGCCATTGATTCTCCATTCTCCTTTTGGACATCCTATGCACAGGACAGAGCACTATTGGCTGGTCTTTTATCCCATGTTAGCATCAAATTGCGTAATGCCCGCCAGACGAGACTGCGGTGCTTCAGGCCAGCTTGAGGGCAGTTAAAGTAACTCACAATTACCTCCAAGCCTAGCTCGTCTATGCGGCGCCTTACCACAATTTGCCGCTTATGGAGCACATATGGGACACTCTCAAACCTCATAGAACAAAGGTGTCATGTATCTCTCCGGCACATATGGAGTAAGGGCACAGGACGCGGGTGAGGTTCGCAATTACCTAAATAATCCCCAGGCGTCATTCTTGTGTCATCACAACGTCTGGGTTCTTTCAAAGATTCCGAGGGAACGTAACCGAGATAGGCATTCAAGCTCACAAGTGTCAAGATGAGGACCCGCTCTGGAAAGTCGAGATACTTATGTCTTCCATTGTCCATGCCTACCCGTTCCTCAAAGAGGCGAAAGCCAGTCATACCAGCGCCCATGACGTTTACTGACAAGATTCAGGTATTTCCAGAGTCCCCAGGGGGCAGGGGGCACCACCTCCTCTATCAACAAGATATTCGACAGCTATCGAGGTGAGGCAGCTCGCCCAAAGAAAAGTATCAGTTCCAACCTAATCCCATTCAGACTCCCCGGATGACAGCCCCGATGGCATCGGCATTGAAGGAGCGATGAAATTTCTCGGCGATATCCAAGTACAACTAGACGAAGTGACATGTCTCGGCATCGCAGAACTTCTGAAATCACCATCGATGGGCGAGTTTACTCGAGAGGGATTCCTGAATGGTTGGAGGGCTGTCGGGTAACATCACCACCAAACCCCGTTGCCAAAATACGGAAATCAAGATATTCTAACCTAATCTACAGATGTGACTCCATCGACAAAATGGTCGCCCACGCTGACAATCTCCGATCGCAGATTCCCACGCAGCCAGATCTCTTCCGTCGCGTGTACCGCTATACGTTCCCTCTCTGCCGGATGCAGGGCCAGCGGAACCTCCAGTTTGAGATTGCAGCCGAGCAGTGGAAGCTATTCTTTACGCCGGAGAAGGGTGGAGTCCAGTGGGACACCGAGACGACTCCATGGCTGGAATGGTGGATCGAATTCATGGAGGAGCGCGGAAAGAAACCCGTTAACAAGGATCTGTGGGAACAGGTTGAGGTCTTCATGCGGAAGACTCTTGACGATGAACGGTTTGGGTGGTGGAGTGCGGATGGCGCATGGCCTGGGGCACTCGATGATTTTGTAGCCTGGGTGCAGAAGAAGAGAGGGGATAATATGGAAGTGGAGTGATGGTTGGTAGTGGATCGTTGAGGGGAATGAGTGTATGAATGCATAGTAGAATTGGTATATTCTAGTTCTCGCAGCTCTCTAGGTCCAGCCAACTGTATCGGGCTCTACGCCTCTTTCAACCGACAAGTTTGAGAAACATTCGCAAAACATTTGCAGTAGAACCTCCTAGTTTCTTAACTATCAAAGACTAAGGACAGGCATTGAAGGTAATGTGTAATTTGACATTGCAAAGGGTAAATAGCAGCACTATGGACTATCAAGTTATGTATATCGGCAGCTGCAGACGGAAACTAAGAAAAACATACATCGTGACGGTCAAACATATCTTCATCTCGGCACGACACAAGATAGGGAATGGTCTTGGGGCCAGATCAGAATAGAACATGAGAATGGAATCAATCAAACATGCAAAGGGGGTAATTGGGGGCGGAGAGGGGGAAGAAGTAGATTGTCCGTGCCTTCGGCTTGCTTTGCCTTGAGGGAACGTATTGCATCTATTCAACCGAGGTATGGTGTGGACGGGCCGAGGATTATGGAAGGCGTTCGGGTCGTTCCGCTTGAGCCGGATGGGTAGGGTCTGAATCTATATACATTTACTAGTAGCCCTTGGGCTCGAAATCACTGCCTGGGCCGGCGCGACGATCATAACGCTATTTAGGTTTGTAAATTAGTGTCTGGGATGAAATGGTTGAAGAGGGCATTTACCTTTTTCAGGGCCTCGAGGCGCTTTCTCTTCGTGTGGGTGTTGACATAAGTTCCAATGAAGAAACCGATGATGTTGAAGAATGGCACCCAAGTGTGCTCGGGAAGGAACTTCTGCGCGAACGCAAGTGCGAGAGGGGAAGTGACCCAGCTGACTTTCATGACGGGCATGAAACCAGCGCGAACGGTGGCGCGAACCTGATGGAAGGTGCGCGCACCAGTGATGACAGCCATCGACGATAGGTACACCACGTTTTGGATGGGGGAGATCTGCGTTTTAGGTTAGCGTATCCGCGCATTCCAGAGATCGAGGGCACGATTTGTGGGACGCCCGACATGAATGGGGAACGTACTATGAGATTGCTAAAGAGAATCTGTAGGATCTTGGCCTTCAGGCTTGTGCGGCCGGCAAAGATCTTTTGGAGGATGCCCACGAGGAAGTGGCCCAGCGGGGCAGCGACAAACATGCCGTAGAGAAGCATTTTAGGAACACGGGCGCTGAAGTAGTGCCCATTCCTGCTGACATCATTCGCGATCCACGAGGCCAAGTATTCTTGAGTTGCGGAAAGCACACCCGACGTCAACATCTTGGTGCGCAGAGGGTTCTTCTGCAGCTGACGCAGGTACATCTGTAAAAGCGAGCATTTTCCATGTCAGCGAGCTGCGAGTGTACCGACCGCGATAGTATCAATCGCCGAGCCGACGCTCCGGGGTGGAGGATAAACATACAGCCATATAACCATTCTGAGGGTTTCCGCCAGTCAAGCGTTCGCCGACCTTGTGCACCAATTCCTTTGTGTCTTGGCGAATTGACTTTGCGGCCTCCTCCTGAAACTGTCCCTGGACCTGGCCCTTAATTTGTTCCGTGACCTGTTGCGTGACCTGTTGCGCGACTTGGTCCTGGAACCTATCCTGAAATTTCACGGACATGATGGCGGTTGCTGCGGTTGCGTCGGCAATAGAACACGAGGGTAGCGATGATAAGATCGGTTCTCGGAATTGACGGCAACGGGTACAATTGCGGCGGACGCGGTCTCTGAGAAACAGTTAATACACGATCCGCTCGGACAATAATGCATACAATGGACTTTAGATGACGGACAGTTGAATATGGGGCGATGTGGGTTAAGAGTGGAATAAGAAAATCGGTGAGAGATTGATTATGGGGTTGGAGAAGAAAGAAAAAGTCCCGCCAGGAACTAAAGAAACAGGGGGGGGAAGGAGCTGAGCTGCTGTTTGTTTATGGAACGAGGAGGCTGGCTGGAACTCCCCAGACCGAAAAAAAAAAATAAGTTCTCAGCTTGGGGGGACACGGAAAGCTTACCGAGGTTAAATAAGGTAAATAATTGGTAGTAGAACAATTAAGAGGTTAAATGAATCGAGGGAATTACACCGATTAATTTAGGATAGACACTCAATAGATGACGAAATTGTTTATCGAACTGGAGAACGTGTGGGTTTCTCTTATATGCAGGTGATTTATCGAAAAACAAAACAAAAGAATGGTTTCAGATAAGAAAGATACAAAAAAGGGAACCCTTTTCCCAAGAGAGACCGTCACAGAATAGTCAGTGTTGGAAACTGGGGATTTAAAGCTGGAGGGAAAAGTGGAGGATGAATCAGGATCTCTCAAGGCGACAGGTCATTTGAAGTCGGCCACGAATGTCGGCAGATATTATTTATATTGCTGTTCACTAAATTCAAAATTACCTGCTAATTTGGTTTTATACGAAACCAACTGCACTTGTCCGCTGCCTATCGGTCACCTCCGATAGCCTATCGCTTCGGCTCGCTCGAAAGTTTATTTGCGTATTGTTTTTTGGTTATTACTCCGTACTTTGAATAATATTCTCCACTATATAAGGACCTGGTGTATTCATCACTATCACAGTACCTACTTCTACTACACAATTCATATACCGAAGTTTATAGCTTACATATACTTTGTATGCTGACTTGAAGCTTTCATACCCTCACTCACAACCTATATTCTTGAACAGGACTCTGGCCTATTTACAGAAGAACCAAGCAATGATGAAAATACAAGGGAAAAAGAAAAGAGAAAAAGAGAAAAAGAAAAATGAAGCATGTAATAAAATGAAGTTTCAAAAATACATAGGTCAGGTTTGGTCTGTGTTTCAATCACCATCTTCTTTCAAAATCCAGTACACCACATGAAATGAACTTACTATAAAATTTGCAGTCTGGTTCTTTACCATACCTTTGAAGCTTCACTCCAGCATTCCAAGATGACCTATTATATCTATCTGATTGTTATCAACTTGGTATTCATGAGAGAGGTGAAATGCAAGACAAAGTGAATATACCACTTGACCGGGATATTTCTTTCTCATGCATGATGGTTATTATTTCCTAGTTTCGATCTTTCTGTCACAGAGCGCACCCGTTTACTACTTCATGAGTGAATGCTATCACCCACTCTTAGTATGTCTATTCTTGTTACTGTATGACACCGTACTATGCTCTCATACCCAATCACACTGCTCTGGTTCTTCATTTCATCCCATCCTGAGCTATGGCAGACAATGAACATAGCAACTCCGGAGAGAACACAGGTATTCACCCTACCGATTCACTTCCTATCCTACAAGTGCCTTCTTTAGCATCCAATGACCCTCTAGCCCACCAATATCAAGCTCCCGCCCAAGAAAGTGACGTTTGGCCTGCCTCGGAACTCCAGCTACCTCTCGATTATCAGAAATATTATACTGAACATCCGCCCATGGCTTCTCCGACAACCCAGTCAGCTGTCCGCCAGCATCGCTGTCATCACAGTGTGATGGAACGCCAGTTCTGCATTGACCGTACGGAAACATGCAACTCATGTGGAAGACGGCCATTCCTCGGATGGCTCTACCTCTGTGTTGAGGATATTTCGGGCTTCTCTGATCCCTTGGATCCCATAAATGGCCCATTCCTCAGTCCGTGGATACTAAAAGCCATGGAAGATGGTCACTATACGACCGAACAGAAAGAAATCGTGATTCACCAGAAGTTGAACGTCGTGAGGATGGCGGAGAGAGAAAGAGGCCCCGTACCTCCACCGCTGTCTATGCTCTATGCAGAGCGTAGTGCGCTAAACGGTCACAACCAGGATGATCCATGGGTAGAGTTGGTAGAGGATGTCAGCCCGCGGGATGAGAGTGCTCCCAAAACCAGCGAATCAGCGGTTCGCCTCGACCGTCCTGAGCTAGCTTCGCAGGTACCCCAGCCTTCACACCCTTCTCGTCCATGCACATTCAAGGCTTGTCGTTACTGCGAGCGTCGCCATGGTAACCTCGAGGAGCGTACCTGGATAAGTCTCAATGAAATCTGCAATGATCCTTCCATTCCCCCTCCAGACTCGTGGGAACTGCTTGAGCGACCTGTCTCCGATGCCAATATTCTTCGAAACTTAGAGCTCCCCTCTCGGCGTATCTGGATTGGTTCTTCAGGGGCGAGTTCCTCAGGATACGACATCGCAGAGAGCCGCGAAGATATAAGCGCTAGGCTCTATTCTCAGGAGAATATCACTAGCACCAATCTCCATGAGCTTCTGAATCAGTCCCTGAACATATCGGTCAGAACAGAACAGACCATTGCATCTTATACGAGCCAGCTAAGTGAAAGTATTGTCATTGGGCAGGCTCTCTCTGCGTTCGATGATCACTCAACATCGTTCCCCTTGTCAGACTCGTTAGAGCACGGTCATGATGAATGTAATACCGGGGGATAGATTTGACAGTGAAGCTGCATACAACTCTCGATTCTTGGCTATTACGTGGGGGAAGTGGAAAGCAAAGTAAGAAGGATGATGGGGCCCAGAGCTACAACGTGGAGTACATTGTGTGACGACTGACTGCATTGCTTATTACTACTGTCCTCATCTGACAGGGACCGAAAAAGATAATTAGAAGAAATTTGATTACCATAGTGGCCCGGGAATGCAAAGGCATGTGTTACATAGTGGGATGATCTTCTAGAATTATTATGAAGGAAAAGTTCCGCGGGCATAATTTCCCAAACAATTCCACTAGATGATGGAATCCACATGCAGATCAACCACGCTTCAAGTTTTGCATGCGGTACGCGCGGGTACTTTCGCAAGACAAATTAGCCCGCTACAACTTATATAAACCGACATTCTCTACCCACACGGTGGTTTATGGGTAGGACAACTGTTGTGAAGGGCTGGCAGTCAAAGTGCGCGCAAATTGATTCGGTTGATCACAGCGATTTGTCTGCAAACTCCGAACCTCGGCATCTGCGCCAAGCGCAAGGAAGTGCTAGTCAGATGCTCTGCGTTTGATATTTCCCTATAAATCCACATCGCCCTGCGCTCCATACCGCCCTCTCCAGAGCATCGGAGACTCCCGCATATTTTTGATAGTGCCCGTTATGGCTGACACTGAAAATCCCCCTGATTCTTCTGCGCCCGCCGTTGCCGAAACACCGAATGTGGGGAAATCGGCCAGTCCCGCGGGGGGTTCACCACCGCGACCATCGTCCTTGAATGTTGCTCAGCGCCAACTGCTAGGAGCCCTCAGGGCAACCGACGTCACCATAGGCCGCTTGGACAAGTAAGTACTTGGCTGAGGTCTTCGTTTTACGTGCGATTTTCTGCTTTTGCGCGATAGGCGTCTCGACCAGCAGCAGTTACCATCATTTCCATGTGACTAACTGCGCACTGTGCATAGGCTCATGTCATCGGCCTATGGTCAAGAACGAGTATTTGCTGTCACCGGCTATCTCACCCATGCGCTCCATCACCTCCTCGCCTCCGCACCATGGATTGCCCTCCAAACACGGCTTGGCCTTCTGGCCCGATTGAGATCCAAAACCAAGCCTGTCGCGTCTAACTCGACCCCCTCGCCGTCCCGACTGCTTGCCCTCTCCGCTCTCATGTCGGAAACCCGCTATAGCCTCCGGCTCTTGGGCCTCTTTCCTCTCTGGACTTGGGGTTCCGCTACATTGAAATCTCCCCCATCGGACCGCATCCTCTACGCGCTTACCCTTCTCCAAGTGGTTGTGAACATGATCTATCAAGCCCTTGAGAATGCTGGCTTCCTAGCTTCCAAGGGAGTAATTTCGAAGAAGTTCATCGACCGCTGGGGCGGCATTGACAAGTGGTATATATGGAGTACACGGGCTTGGTTCGGCCACATCTTCTTCCAGTTCTTCGTGCTGTGGAGAGAGCATGTGCTCCGGAAGAAGAGAATGAGTGGTGAAGTATCAGAAGAGAAGAAGGAGGAGGCCTTGAAAGCCGAGGTTCGCGCCTGGAAGAAGAGCCTGGTGAATAATACCTGCTGGGCCCCGTTGTGTCTTCACTGGTGTTTCGAAAAGGGAATTGGTTTCCCTGACAGCTTGAGCGGGGTTGTTAGTTTCATGGCTGGGGGTTGGGGCGTTTATGACTTATGGACCGCAACTGCGCAGTCCTAGACAAACAGGAAATCCGGCTGGACTGAGATCTGTATATAACTGTGGCTTAGAGTATATTAACTGGCGCAAACCGGGGATAAAATCTCAAAGACTTTATGATAGAATATAATTTTTCCTAATTTTTAAGAATTCCCTTTACATCACATACTGTCAACTGACTCATATCGCCTTTCTCCAGCATCTATTTATTTGCTACTGTTCTATGAATGATCGCTGCAAAAGTCAACCCTATTTCTAACCCGGGTCTTACAGAAACAACCCCGATCCGTCTAGCATATTCCTGTGCTGGGAATTGACAATGTTCTCATAGAACTTTTCTTTCAAAAACCAATCCAGTGACCAAGCCGTGCTCTCCACAGGTATCAGGCCCTCCTTCGAACCATGCCAAGCAAACATACCAGCATCAATCATCCGTCCACTGCAAATATCATGACAAGGTAAGCTACTATCCTTCAGACAAATCTGAGCCCTCACGTCCACCAGATTCATAAGTCCTCCTTCAAAATCATATATCAAGTTCCGCTGGTCCACGTCCAGTCCCAATACGAGCATTCCTTGCACGGTATCATGCGGATTGGATGTTTGAACAACGACAGGCGGGCTCTTCGGTGATATCTGGTAGAGCATGTAGCCTGATACACATGCCCGAATCATTCTTTTTGTGATGTCGGTGGCTGGGTCTTCTCTTATGAAATACTTGAGTACGGTGGGAAGCATTAACACTCCGTAGACGAAGCGCGGTGCACAGTTTGGCCGTCCGAGGAGCTCTGTCAATGTTTCCTCTGTGAATGTGTTAAGGAGGGCTTGGTTGAAGTCGGCTGGGTACCATGGTTTGCACTCCATTCTATGAGATGGGAGACCCTGCAGGACTGGTTCAGATGAAGTGGATGCCCATTATCCGGAGTGATACTCGGGATCTGATCCTTCTTTGTTGTAATTGTATGTTTGTTGCACTCTTCTATTGTCCTTGAGACTCGTGGCGCGATTATATGGAGTGATGACTTGGACGAACTATGTAATGGTTCGTTGGCAGTAGTGTGCTCTCCTAAGTATGAGATAAGAATACTATTTCCTTGATAGGCTTTATGACTATGGCGCTTTCCAGTCAATTTGAATGGAAGTATCTTGATATCTATATAAAAAGGAGGACTGGTGAATTATTTGGAAAGTATACAACACTCTAGAAGAGCAATGTTAAAGATGGAAAGCACGTTTAGTAAGTTATACTGGGTAGTAACTGAATAAGTTTGGGATATTAGGGCTTTATACAGCTTTTCAAACCAGGCAACTTTCTATCATGGGCAAAGCCTGACTGAGAAGGCACGTCCATTTGCCTAGTCAAGTTGGAGCCTTGGGCGAAGGGGGTGATATGTAAGGTGAACGAGGCTGGTGCCACAGATGGGCAACAAATGATATAGCTCTTTTGCCTGAGGCAACCAGGCACATCAACAGTGCGGAGTACAGTGTTTAGGTAGGAGAAGTTGGAGTAGGCAAGGAAGATCAGTCAGCATCAACAACGAAAACAGAAGTTAAAGATAAGAACCTTGAAGGCAAAAGCCATTTGGCAACAAAGAACATTTCCGAACCTCAGAGCTTTCCTTATTAATAATATTAATACTAGAATAAAGAAATGAATGATTATATCTTGGAGTTGACCAGTCGATACTTTGGGTAGCTTGTCAGTATGCGACCGGCTTCCATAGGCTTCTGTACTCGGGGCGGTGGCGGCAGTGGCTAATGAGTGAGGAAGTTTGACCTGGCTTAAGTCATCAACAATAGGCAGTTGAGACTATCGTCACCTCTTAACGGGTAGCTGTTTCTGCCACTTCTGATCTCACTTCCAACTCTCTGTCTCCGCTGCATTTTATCAATCCTTCCCCCTTCTCCCATTTGCTCATCCTTCAGACCGTCTATTGCGTTTGCTGGATAATTTGTCTGTGTTTCATTTTTTTGTTCTTTTCTTCTATTTTCTAGTTCCTGTCGTCGGGCATCGTACGTCCGATACAGTGACGTCCTTCGTACCTTCAGGCCTACCCTGCTTCAAGAGCTTGCTAGATCAGTGATCCATCCCCATTCGCCGTCAAGATGAGCGCAGAACCCGACCACACTCATGATAAGAAGAGGGTGCACCTTCAGTATGCTTCAAGTTCTCCCCTCTTGGAGTGATTCATGTGCTAACCGAGCTCAAGGGACGCCTCTGGCGCCGAGAAGAAAGAGGTGAAGATTCATCGCGAAAAGAGAATTTACCGGCCATGACACTGACTGGTCTCGCCACAGGAACTCGATACCGCAACAGCCATCCTAAAGAAGAAGAAGAAGCCCAACTCATTGATGTATGCTAGTATTCCCCCACCACTGCTAACAATGGAGGGGATCTTCCGATGGATGCTAATCAGAGCGCCTCCAGTGTGACCGATGCCGTCAATGATGATAACTCCGTTATTGCCCTTTCCAACAACACTATGGAAACCCTCCAACTCTTCCGCGGTGACACAGTTCTGGTTAAGGGCAAGAAACGGAAAGACACCGTTCTGATTGTGTTGGCGGATGATGATCTTGATGATGGAAGTGCCCGCATCAACCGTGTGGTGAGGCACAACCTCCGTGTCAAGCACGGCGATGTCATCACTGTTCATCCATGCCCTGATATTAAATATGTAGGTACTTCCTGACTACGGCTCGACGTGGCGTGCCAACTAACCACATTCTGGTATTGTAGGCCAAGCGTATTGCCGTTCTCCCCATCGCAGACACTGTTGAGGGTCTCACCGGCTCCTTGTTCGACGTCTTCCTTGCCCCCTACTTCCGCGAAGCCTACAGACCCGTGAGACAGGGCGACCTGTTCACAGTAAGAGGAGGTATGAGGCAAGTGGAATTCAAGGTCGTGGAAGTGGATCCTCCGGAGTATGGCATTGTTGCACAAGATACCGTCATCCATTGCGAGGGTGAGCCTATTCAGCGCGAGGATGAGGAGGGTAACCTCAACGAGGTCGGCTACGATGACATTGGTGGCTGCCGGAAGCAGATGGCACAGATCCGTGAATTGGTGGAACTGCCCCTCCGTCATCCCCAGCTGTTCAAGTCCATTGGTATCAAGCCACCTCGCGGTATCCTCATGTACGGCCCCCCCGGTACTGGTAAGACTCTGATGGCTCGTGCCGTGGCGAACGAGACCGGCGCTTTCTTCTTCTTGATCAACGGCCCCGAGATCATGTCCAAGATGGCCGGTGAATCCGAATCGAATCTGCGCAAGGCCTTTGAGGAGGCTGAGAAGAACTCCCCCGCCATCATCTTCATTGATGAGATCGATTCCATCGCCCCTAAGCGTGAGAAAACCAATGGTGAAGTTGAGCGCCGTGTCGTCTCTCAGCTCCTCACCCTAATGGACGGTATGAAGGCTCGTTCCAACGTTGTCGTCATGGCCGCCACCAACCGTCCAAACTCTATCGATCCTGCTCTCCGTCGTTTCGGCCGTTTCGATCGTGAGGTCGATATTGGCATTCCCGACCCCACTGGCCGCCTGGAGATTATGCAGATCCACACCAAGAACATGAAGCTCGGAGAGGACGTTGACCTGGAGACCATCGCCGCTGAGACCCATGGTTACGTCGGCTCTGATCTTGCGTCTCTCTGCTCTGAGGCTGCCATGCAGCAGATTCGTGAGAAGATGGATCTGATCGATCTGGACGAGGATACTATTGATGCTGAGGTGCTCGACTCCCTTGGTGTCACCATGGAGAACTTCCGTTATGCCCTTGGCGTCTCCAACCCCTCCGCTCTTCGCGAAGTGGCTGTTGTCGAGGTGCCCAACGTTCGCTGGGAGGACATTGGTGGTCTGGAGGAGGTCAAGCGCGAGCTCATCGAGAGCGTGCAGTACCCTGTGGACCACCCCGAGAAGTACCAGAAGTTTGGTCTTTCGCCTTCCCGAGGTGTGCTGTTCTACGGTCCTCCTGGTACTGGTAAGACCATGCTTGCCAAGGCCGTTGCTAATGAGTGCGCTGCCAACTTCATCTCCGTTAAGGGCCCTGAACTGCTCTCGATGTGGTTCGGTGAGTCCGAGAGCAACATTCGTGATATCTTTGATAAGGCCCGTGCTGCCGCCCCTTGTGTCGTCTTCCTGGATGAGTTGGATTCGATCGCCAAGTCTCGTGGTGGTTCTGTTGGTGACGCTGGTGGTGCCTCTGACCGTGTTGTCAACCAGCTCCTGACCGGTATGTGTAGAAGCAGACAATGTATGCGCTTGAATGCATAAGCTAACTTTCATCTTAGAAATGGACGGTATGACCTCCAAGAAGAACGTCTTCGTCATTGGTGCGACGAATAGACCCGAGCAGCTTGATGCTGCCCTTGTCCGTCCTGGTCGTCTGGACACTCTTGTCTACGTTCCCCTGCCCGACCAGGCTTCCCGTGAGGGTATCCTCAAGGCCCAGCTGCGCAAGACCCCTGTCGCATCCGATGTGGACTTGCCCTTCATTGCAAGCAAGACCCACGGATTCTCTGGTGCTGATCTTGGATTCGTTACTCAACGTGCTGTCAAGCTGGCCATCAAGCAGTCTATCACTGCTGATATTGAGCGCCAGAAGCAGCGTGAGGCCAACGGCGAGGATGTCAAGATGGAGGAAGATGAGGAGGTCGACGAGGAGGATCCTGTGCCGGAGCTTACCCGTGCGCACTTCGAGGAGGCCATGAAGTCGGCCCGTCGGTCCGTCAGCGACGTGGAAATCCGCCGTTACGAGGCTTTCGCTCAGAGCCTCAAGAACTCGGGCGGCAGCAGCTTCTTCCGCTTCCCCTCCGCAGGCGAGGTCCAGGACAACAACACGTTCGGTGAAGCCGGCAATGACGACAGCCTCTATGACTAAATTGGGTTTCATGTTTTTCTTTTAAAGTCTTTCTTAGTTATGTATCGGCACTAGTTAGATCTAGCGGGGCTGATGAGGGTATGGACTGCTAGGAAATACGATTGGTTTCTGCTTCCTTTTGAACAGGGTCTGTCCATCTTTTGTGTCTATCTACGTCTCGCATACTAGATGCCATAATAGTTCTTAGTGGAGAGATAAACTCGACGTTCTAGTTTAATGCATCAATGACTGTTATAGAATCAAGAATGTTCCCGTAATACAGATATGTCCATTGGATTAAAACACTGCCACGGCAAAGGTGAACAAGACCACAAGTTGACGTTGTACATGCACGCCGTAGTGGATAATGGTATCAAAATGCAGCAAACTCCCACCCGTTCTAAACACCAACCTCGCCAGAAGACCCATGACAAGTGATCCGAACAAGAATGCCAAAAGCCAGATGTACCCTGAAGAACCGAAAAATGAAAAGAAGAAGGACAAAAAATAAAGAACAGAGATGACGCCCAAGTTCACTTAACCTGTTTTCCAGGCTTCGGCTTCTTATCCGTCTTCTTAACAGGGCTTGTATCACCATTTTTTAGTGACTGGTCCCCTGTCTTCGAAGACTTGGATGGTTTAGTCTTCGTTTCACCGCCGCCCTCCTGCTTCCCATCACCAGTGCTATGGTGCGAATCATGGTGTTCTAACAGATCTGAATCATCATCGAGCACCACCACCTCGCGCAATACCTCTTTGATCGCCCTCACACCCTGCTCAACCACTGCCTCCGGGATCCGCACATCCACTTTCTCAAAGTACCCGTCCGCATCGCCGTTGCTATTCTTGTCCTCCTCGTTCACGTTGTCCAAGCCTGCTAGCGATGGGTGTTTTCGTCCCTCCGCGGACGCAACCACTGCCTCAACAACATCATCAAATCGCTCGCATCGTCCGCCGCGCAGGAGCTCCTGCGATAGCTTCCGAACCTTTTCCGTCCATCCCATCCGCTGCAGGGAGCAGAGGAGGGTCGCGTGAAGATCTTCTAGCGCCGTGGTGGAGGCCAGGTGCGCGAGGAGGTCCGATTCGAGACTTTCCGACGAGGCTGGGGTTATCCCTGTGCTTTGGGAGGTGGTCATTTTGCCTTTCCTACGTTCGTTCGTCGGCTCGCTGCTGAATTTATTCCGATCCCTTTTATTCCGTTTCTAACCAGTCCCCGTTATTGGTCCGTGGACCGTGCAAATCAAGTAAGTAGGCAGGAACACCGGGGCGATGAGGTCGTCGGCGGCGGCGCGTGGACGGCGGCGGGATATAGATTTTCGGTTTCTGCCGATCTGACCACACCCAGACACCTTTTCGTTGTTTCTTTTCCCTTTGCCCTTTTCCTTCGATAGTATCGGGGGAAATCGTCTCCGGACGGCCCGTTCGTAAACCGAGGCTTGTTGCGACTTGTACTAGTAGGTCTCGAATCCTTTTTGCGATCGGATTGGAATTGCAACGCGGAGAACCTCGGCGGTAGGGCGGAGCGAACGACGGATAGAAGGTCGGTAAGGTGGTTGATGCGATCTTTTCGCGATCGCCGCGTCGCTAGCTTCCTTCTGCTTTTGGTTTGGTCTGGGTTTGCGCACGTAGGTGACGGGGAAAAAGGATTTAGGACTTACGTTGGATTTGTCTTAAAGAGTCCGTGCGAATTGCGCGCGCGTTGAGAATGTGGAGATGATTTCAACTCTTTGGGGGCGTTTTGGAAAAATGGAAGTGGAGAGAACATGAAAGGTGACAGGGGTTTCTCGTAACGGGGGGGGGGCGTATGATGACTACATTTTGGATTGCCACTTAGGGTTGGAGGGATAGGTGTGAACAATAGAACATAGGGGGTTGGAATGGATTGGAATGGGTATTGGGGTTGTTAATTGGGATTTCTTTCTTGGAATTGAATTGAATCGATTAAATTTTATATATGGGGTAGGGTTGGGAGTGGGTTATCGCTGTTGGTGGGTGTCATATTCCGGTATCTAGATAGGTGTATATATTACTACTATTATCAATTTAGTGGGTGGTGGTGTTCATTTATTGATTGTTTATTGATTCTTTTTGACAATGTGAATGATTTGCCTTGGTACATATTAGATAGATCAGTATGTCTAAAAGCTTGTGGTATATATAGCTGCAATGGATCACATATCCACATCACGTTGGACAACTATACCCTAATACTTCATAGAGTTCACAGTATTAGCAGAATGTTGCTTATGAGAATAGTTTACTCTACGAATACATTTATAATTGTGAACTGCACAATTATGACCACAAAGACTAAAAGAAAAATCGAACAAGACTAAAAAAAGGAGTGAAGTACTACTACTTCAGTAGTGCAATGCCAGTCATCGAGTCCCAAGCGCACGGATACACCACTATCGGAAAGCTAGGAGAATAAAATAGAAGAACGGGGAAGACCTTGTCCGGGTTACTAATTAAACAGAGGCTAAATAGTTTCCAAGGGCATTCCACGGATCAAGTACAGCCACAGGCTAGTACAACGGTTCTCTTGAACAGGTGTTTGCGTGTTCTCTGCGGATGGCTGGCGGGATTGCATCGCAAGGGGAGGAGTCCAGTCCCTATTTCCATACATAGTGACCTATAAGCGTTGAGCGTTCGCACGGAACGAACTGAGTACCAGGGGTCCTGATGGGCGAGTAAAGCATGTAGCTGACGACTGGCGCTTGGAAGGATTGCGTCGGTCCAATGCCCATCAAATACTTTTTTTTTTTTTTTTTTTTCAATAGCGTGCACAGTTTTCTGGTCGCTTCCTTACTCTATTGAAGCTACCCCATACGTCGTGCGGTTCCAGAGTAGGCCGTCAGGATCAATAATGACTTCCGTTTCCATTTACTAGTTACAGAAAAGTACTAAGTAGTTCTGCCTAGAGAAAAGATTGTTCGGAGTAAGAACTAGACGGGAATGGCTAAAGGCAGATACTAGTTAGCTTTTTTTTTTTTTTTAAATTATTTATTTTCCACAGTGGATTCTGACAGCGGAGCATTCGGACCCTCCCAGCCGCCAAAAGCGTTAGGCGCTCCGACGCTATTGGATTTTGACAGCAGTCTCTTTTCTTTCTCAATCGTCCATTGCATTGTCTGCAGGAAAATAGTTTACTTTTGCCCTGTGGGTTTTGGCTTTGGGCTTTCTCCTGAGCAAAACTTTTTTTAGCATCTTTTCCCTGATTTGGTCGATGAATTGATTAGATCGATGATCTCGGGTAAGTATTTCTTTTATTTTATTTATTTATTATATTGTGTGGGGGGGGGGTTTATATTTTTTTTAACGTCTGCCCCTGAGTATGGGTTGATATTGATATTGAGTTGAACTATCAATTATTGTGGTATTTTGGTTTATCATATTTTCTCCGTTCACCTTTCTGGAGAGTATTCGGAAGAGTGTGGTTGTGTGTTCGTTCAATGCACACCCTGTTGATCATTGAGGGAGAGGGGGTCTCTGATCAGTGGATAAATAGAAAGTGTGAAAGTCAATCATCTATACAAGTAGGAATAGAAATAATCCCTTACGAGAAGGACTGTTGTCATAAGATGGTTAGGATATGGCTGGGGAAGATCCAAATGCAAGGATGCGAGATTGTCCACCAATACATTTTGTATGGGTAGATTAATGGTAGCATTGGAACTGTGTTCTTCGAGGTGGACTGGGCATGTGTCATTCATTGCATGTCCCCTGGCTATAGTCTTCTGATATATAACAAATGAGAAAAAAATAAAAATAAAAATAAAACCTACTTTAAGACTAAGACAGGAATTTTCTTAAAATCAATAGTGACTGCTACTATAAAGTCAAGTTTATCTAGTGATTCATGTATATCAGGTCTTGGATACAGTGAAGTGGCTGAACCATAATATAAGTTAATGGATTGAATAGCGAGAGAAAGTAGAGACAGTCTTGTGAAAAATAAAAGGAATAATATATTTTATTGCTCTTTTATTTTTTTTTTTTAAATAAATAAATAAATAATAATCATCATCGACTGGAAAGGTGGATAAAAAGAGTCCAGACCAGCGTCACGTGCGGCGATCCAACTCTAGGCTGGCGCTTCTGGTCTGTTGCCAAACTCAAAAAGAGCTCCTCCTCCAGCAAGAAGACTAGAAAGATCACTTCGGACTTCCCTTTCCATTCTCTTCTTTTTTTTCTTTTTTTGGGTTTACCGGCCCGGGATTTTCATATTATTTTATTTGCTTTTGCCTTTCTTTCTTCTGCCCTTCGTTCATTCGTTTCATCCTTGTTTTCGTTGTTGTTGTTGTGGTTGTTTTGTTGTTCTTGTTCTTGATCGCTAACACCTTTGCGTGGGTTCTGTTCACCTCAGCCTCTTTTTCACCCTCTCGTGCCCTAATCTTCCTATTCAGGAGAGGATCAGTCTTTCCCCCCAAAGCAACTCAAAGCTTCCCCGCTCTGATTTTAGTCCCCATCATCTTCTCTCATTGCATTGCTGGCCTAACGACGAACGAATCTCCGTCACGACTTTTCGATCTCCCTCTTTCTCCCTTCCCATTTTTTCTTTTCATTTCTTCATTTCTTCTTCCTTTCTGGGTTGTCCTTGTTCATATAAATTGGGGATTCCTTTTTTTTGTTTGGTTTCCGGCATTCGAGGATTGGTTTCGGTTCTTTGACAACTGCTCGGCGCTATTTCGATATCTCCTCCCCAGCCGCCCGTAACCGCCATTCGCCCCATCCATGTGGCACGCTTTCTTGGCTGAGACTTCTTCAGCTGCCTATTTGATTTCAATCTCCTGATTGCGATCGTGAATGATTTATCTCAAGTCTCATTATCCACTGCTGAAAATACTCTCGTCTCCTCCCCTCCCGTCTTCGTCTCTGCCCCCCCACCGGGCCGACGTCCCCTCCGACCCCTTGTGTCGTGTCGATCTTTATCCTCGAGGAATTAATCGCCATCACCATGTCTCTCCACACTTCCTACCACGCCGACTCCGATGCCGACGACGAGTACGAGCGCAGCGTCATCACGTCCCCTCACTTGGCCACCGATTCCGAGGCGTCTCCCTCCGAATCCGACTTCCCCTCTTCCGAACAGACTCCGACCACTTTTGCAAATGCCGATGAACATCCTAAATCCACCAGAACCATCATCACCGAATGGACAGTCGAGGAGTGCGCCCACTTTCTTGCCGCCCTAGGTCTCCGTCAATATTGTCCCGCCTTCCTCGGTGAGTTCGACTGCCTGGAAAGAGGAGTAGGGAAAGAATCGTCCGCTGATAACTTGCAGAAAATGAGATCGTGGGGGAAGCGCTTATTGCTCTGAAACATGATGAGTTGAAGGAGATGGGGATTACTAGCGTGGGGCATCGATTAACTATTCTCAAGAGTGTCTATGAAACAAAGGTGAAACAAGACATTCCGCTAGATGCAGACCATTATATTCCTCTCTGTATGTCTCTCCACTCCTTTAGGGAAGTCATGTTTGACGGTTCCCTGTTCCACCTTGCTAATATTCATTCTTCTTGACAGCGGCGGACCAAAGTATGAATGAAACCGCGTCACAGGAGGATGTCGCTCGTTTAATCCAGTCTATTCGGTTGCGAGATGAGCGTATCGTCACAGTGGAGTCTGAGTTGCGCCGTATGGCGGAGGACTATCGTCGGCTGAGAGAGGAGCTTCTGCCGGTTTTCAAGATGGCTAAGGACCGTTCGCAACCGCTGCCCCCGCCCACATCTATGGCAAGTTCGGGCCCAGACGGATACCACGATAGTCAGCAGACGCTGGTGTCGCCTTCCGGCGGGATAACTCTCCTGGACCGCTCAGCTACCCTCTCGCGACAAATTTCCAAAAGACTTCACACGGGAGGCACCACCCCCAAGAACAATTCCCCTACTCATATCCCACCCTCGATTCATGAAGGCCGTATGTATCACGACAATGGCGTGCTAGACCCCTCAACGGCGCTCTACTCGAATGGAAAGTCGCAGTTGTCTCCAGGGATCCCGTCTCCCACCTCCCCAGGCGTCCACTATACCGCAGCGCAGACTTTGGCGTCTCGATCATATCAACCCACTTCCAACACTAGCCGTAGCCCCTACGACCACCACGACGACCCCTCAACATCGCAAAACCGTGAACGCTTGAATCCTACACCAACACAACCAAACCGTCCCGACATCCCGACCCGGTCAGATTCCAGAGCTGGCAATGGTAATGGCAATGACCCGCCGAGCGTGGAAATATTCAAGTCATTCCGTGTCTCCATGGAGGATCCCTGCTATAAGGTTCTTCCCGCTGCATTGAAGAAGTACAATATCAATGCCGACTGGAAGCAATATGCACTGTATATTGTGTATGGCGACCAAGAACGTTGTTTGGGCTTGGAAGAGCGGCCGCTCATTCTCTTCAAGCAGCTAGAAAAGGAGGGACGGAAACCAATGTTCATGTTGCGAAAGCAACTGCAGCACCCCGAAAGCAGCTATCCGCCAGTCAACCCTGTGCCTAACAGTGCTGGATTTGAAAGCAGACAGGCACAGATCAATTTACCCGGCGGAGTGCTATGATCTGTCTGTTATGGGCGTCGTGGGACGTATCTCCCCGCTGCAGCGTCAGCTCTAAATAAGATTCGTGACATTACTCTCTGTTGCTTGAGATACCCCTTTCCAAGCGATCACGTTTCATCTTTTACCTTCTTCATCTCCTCATCGTTCGGTACCTTAATTGCTCTTTTGACCTGAAATCTTTAGTTAACAGGGTGTTTGGTGTTTGCGTCGGTGTTTGGGCAATTAAGGATCGGAAAAAGCAAAAGACTTGAGCGTGGTAATCTGTTTTACTTTACTCTTGTGTTTGGGTCCTATATTCATCTTCACTTCTTGCTCACTTCTTTTCTCTGGATAAATTTTAACTATATCACTTCCATTCACATTTTCACTTCATTCTACCTGTGGCTTTGTATTAGCGTTTCTGATCTCTTCTTTCTTCACCTCTTTGGATCCTCGAGATCACTCTTCTTGTTTCATGAACAAACAAGGTGCATGCATGGACTTCTGATGTATTATCATACCATACCATATTATATCCTCTCTTATATGAAACTATTATATTTGACCGGGAAATTTGTCCGAATCCAACTCTGTTGAAGGAAGTACTTTTGTACATACATATATTCCTTATCTATATTATGGTACGGAGTGTATACTGTGGGGAGGATATTATAAAACTATGCCATAAAACCAGCTGCAAATAAGCTAGTATCTACGGTGTATATACCCTGTTTAAAAATAGAGTCGTAGTCACCCTTGTGCGACAGAAAAAAGTATCAAAGATCATGAAAACAGAACGATATAGTTGGATATCGAACAGAGAAATAACCAAAGCCAAGAACAAATGGCACCAAAAAGAAAAGAAGCAGCTAGAGTAATTAAGTTACACTGGATCAGGAAGCTCTATACACAGCATGAAAAGACATGCATAACACATGCAATAGGTGCTCAAGAATGCAGGAAAAAAAAAAAAAAATAAGGGAAACGGGACAGCTGATCAACCAACCAGACGACAGTATGATAAAACCTGGACTCTTAACTTGTGGCTGTTTTCAGACCGCAGGATTATCGCTTTGCTTCTGCTTCTGCTTCTGCCTCTTGTTTCTGGACTTGTTTCTAATTGTTGTTTCTTGTCACACCGCAACTGTTCATTTCCCCACCGCCCCTCCTTATTCTTTTTTGTTTTGTCAATTTTTCTTTTCTTGTCTTAATGTATCATTAGCCCTATGCATGTCTCGTGTTCAAATTTTCTTTCTTTCTTTTTTTGTTTTTTGTGGGGGTATGAGTTGTTCAGATCTCTTTAGGCCTCCCGGCCTTTCTCTCCTCCCCACGAGATTGAGCGCTGATGCGCAGAGCTCGAGGAACTCGAAGCGTTCCCTTGGTTGGAGTTACTTCCATTTCCACTATCGGAGGGCTTTGTCCCCTCTACAAACTGGACTTTGCTGCCGACACGACGGAATCCCGTATTGTCCTCACTATCTGATTCTACTGCGGCATCCGACTCATCGGAATCGTCTGAGTTCAGTTCACCAAGAGCGGCGAGACGACGACGGCGTTCCGCAGGTGTTTCTCCCGTATCATCGTCATCTTGCTGAGGTGGACGCGACAGGCCAGCTGCTTCTCGAAGTTGAGCCGGGGGCACACGCTCAGTGCCATCGTCTTCAGAATCTCTGCGTGAGCGAGGGCGAGTGGAGGGGTTGAGAGTACTGCGACGCTCCTCTGCTGCCGTGCCACGGGTGAACCGGGCCAATGAAGCAGCAATATTGTCACCAGGCACCCCTATATCAGACCCGTTGCTTGACCCGCTACTCGAGATGGATGCAGGTCGGGCAGATGTTCCTTGATGTTGTGTGTCTTGGCCAGGACCGTCAGCAAGAGACTCTTTGCGCTCCGCGTCCCGAGCTTCGTCCCGGGCAACTTCCTTGACATGCTGGGGCGCATCTGTCTCTTCCACCAGATCGCGACGAGCTCTGGGACCAAGGTTGCGGAGTTGCTGGACGAATTCATGCTTGTTCATTCTGCGACCCTTGTGGCTAACGCCCTTCTTATCAATGTTGTCATCGTCGGCCACGGTGAATCGAAGACCATCGTCTGCTAGCCAGTCATCCTCGGCTGTCTTCTTCTCTGCCTGCGATGGCTCTCCTTCACCGTCCATGCCAAACCAGGTTCCCATGCGGGTCAATCCACGCCGAACGGGCGCTCCTGTCTCCGGTTTGTCGGTTGAAGGGATAGAGTACTTCTTGATCACCTCTCCATCCTCATCCTCGACGATGATGGTGTTACCGAACTGATATGCATGAGCTGAGCGAGACTTGCCCTTGGGTTTCTTGTCAGCAGCAGGCTGCTGCGTCGCCGGAGCCTTTTCGACTTCCTGGTCCTCCGCCTCTTGGGCGCGACCCTTTCCGAGTCCAATCCACTGACCAAATCGCTTGCGAGCCTTTTCCAGGGGGTGACCGGCCTTCTCTCCCAGAGCTTCTTCGACCTCCTCTCCCTCTGACCTTGCGTGTGGCCGGCTCCTGGACTTGGCAAACTCTCCCGATTTCTCCTGTAGCAGCTTATCACGCTGTGCTTCGATGTGTCGCTGTCGTTCCTCGGGTGTTATGTGACTAACATCTTCCGTCTTCAGAACATTTCCTTCTTCATCTTCAATGATCATATGATGGCCTTCCAGATAAGCTTCCACAATTGGCTCTCGTCCGAACTGATCACGTTCCTTGGACGGTGGTGAGCCTTCTCGTTCAATTTTGTCGCGCTCTTCTTCCTCCTCTGCGTCTTCACTCTCTACAGGCCGTTGAGGTGCAATCGCTGACTGACTGATAGGACCACCCGCCCCAGACGCGTGCCGACGGCGTCTGCGGGGTCTCCGACTTGACGTCCTGCCGGTAGGCGACTCTGTATCTTCATCCCGAACCCGACGCAGGAAATTACCAGGAACACCGATTGGGGGAAGAGTACCGGGGGGATATTCCTGTTCATTCGAAGACGCATCCGTGTCATCCGGCTTCCGGAAGGACATCGAGCCTTTCGCTATAGACTGCACACGAGGCAAACGATTCATCCATGATGGACCCTCTTCATTTGCGGTGGTGTAAGACAGCGTGATGGTCAGGGTGTTGATGCGCTTTCCGAGGGTGAACACAGCGATGGACGAACCATGGACTAGAATGGACGAGATGACCATAAAAGTCGTGATGGGCCAGATGAGTTGGACGATATAATAATCGGCCGTACCCGCTTTCGGTAGTTCTGCCTCTGTTAGGGGCTGCGTGCTGTCCGTTTCTAATTCAGCTCGAGCCAAGATGGCGGCGAAGATGGCACCGACGCCAATGGGTCCGAAATGACCAGCGAAGAGGGCCTCACGCCAAGTCTTCACATCCGGTATGATTGGTTTCAGGATTAACATAATGGGAATACGGCGGAAAAAGATGACCAAGATGGCGATCACAACAAGCCTCCATGGGACAAGGCCGAGCTCCGGTGCATTGTACGTTTCCCAGGGGACAATGGATCCAAAGTACACGAAATACGCCAAGTTCAGCAGAAGGTCGATAACGTTGGATACGTGAGACTCTTCGGTTTTCTCCGTGAACCATCCATCATTACTGAAACCCACACCTGCCGCGAAACCTATCAAAAGGTCGTCCATACCTAACAAGCTACCAGAGCCGGCACAAAAGACGGCCAGCACAAAGTAGAAGACGAGAAAGCTTTCGCGGTCAATCAGCTGTTTGCGTTCGGCAAATTTGATTGAATGACGGGCGAAATAACCAATGAGGAAACCGTAGACAGCGCCAAAGATACACTCGTATAAGATTGTGACGCAGAACCAATTAAGGGACACTTTCCCCGCGTCTGGACGGTAACGTAAAATGTAGAATGATAGGTAGATGAACGGAAAAGCCATACCGTCGTTGCAGCCAGACTCAGCCGACAACAGGTCTCGCAAATGTTTAGGCACACGCTTGGCGAATTTACCTTTACCGACGACTGAAGACGCCAGCACAGGATCCGTGGCTGTCACACAAGCGGCGCACACAAGACTCTCCAGCCAGCTGAGGGGAGGAACCATCCACCAGATGAACAAGCTGGTAATAAGCCAGCCCCAAGTCATGACCGGCACCAGCAGTAAGAAGACGGACTTCCAATGACGGTTCATGTATGATTTAGGCAATTCGACGCCGACAGCAAAACACTGGACGACCAGGACTATACGAGAGCATTCAAGAGTGATCTTGTCAACATTTCCCCATTCGTGGGGATTGAAGAGATTGGCCGCATGTGGCCCGAAGATGATTCCGCAAAGAGTAGCGACTGTTGCTTCACCGATGTACAGTTTCTCCTTCACAAAGAGCGAGCAAAGCATGAATAGGCCGGTGAAACCGCCCAAGATCATGTAAGCCAAATGAGGCTTATCAATATCCAAATGATCCCACGCCATGATGTTAAAAGGTGTCCGAGGACGGCGACCGCGACCGTCGTCTGTGTGTCCTTCCGCGACCCTTGGCTGTGTTCTCCGTGCCTTCCTCGGTATTCCCTTTTTTATTTATCTTGTAAAAGGGGACTATCGCAAAGGTTATCCGACCGGTCGAACCGCGAGGGACTCACTCAATAGAAATGCGCCTCGTGAGATAGGGAATCCGACGTTCTCGGCATAACTCGGGGAGGGGTGTTAAGTCCGAAACGATGACGGATGAGGCGGGCGAAAGCAGGGCGGATACTTTTTCTCCCAACGTGCCTTCCCTTGCTGCGTCCTGTAAGGGAGGAAACGCTTAGTTGAGCGAATACATGCGATTGGAAGAAAAACACAGAACTGGAGAATACCAGATCGAACAAGAAAATAGAAAATAAAAAGGGAAAATAAGGGGCGGAGGGCGAGGTAGGAACCAGAGTTGGTTCGAGTGCCAAGTGAAGGGAAGAAAGAAAACGTTTGATTGGAGAGGGCAGAGACTTACCAGATTGGGCAACGGCTACTCCGGCTGAACAAGAAGTAGTAGTATATGGAATATACACTCCAATGAGGTGTACAAACCAGGAGATGCCTTCTGAAGGGAAGGAGAAAAGGAAGAATAGAAGGATCAGATACCGAGAGAAAAGAAACGGGACAAGAGAAGACAAGAAAGAGACAAGCGAAGGTCAAGCGACGACAAGAAACGACCAGAGGCAGGACAAGACTCTGGGCACTCCAGAGAACAGGGAGAGAAAATTCAAGAAACAAAGACCAAGACCGAGACCCAGGCCAAGACCATCATACTGGCGCTTGATTTGATCTGGAGAAGGAGGTAATGTCTTCGGTATGTAATACTGCGCTCGGTTCTGGGAAAGCGTGGGAAGATCCTCTGCTCTGGGCGGCGAAGATTGCAGGGAAGAAAGCAAATCAGATCCGCGACTGAGAGGAGATACTGGCGGGGATTGGCAAGTCACGGGCCCACCGGCTCATTCGCGGAGCGAACAATTTTTGGCCTTGGCGGGCGGACGCACTCCACCAGCTGGAAAGATTACCGGTATTATACCCAAAATACCACTAGTAGCACGGTCGCAGTTGGAGAATTACGTATGTCCCCCTACTGTCCTTATCTCCCGTACCTGAGAACGGCAGGATTCCCGACTACTATATACTAAACGGAGTAGGGACTACCCCCGGTACAATCCATTGATTGATACCTCAGGTACAACATTGTTGTACAGAGTAGTAATCACTACTAGTAGTACGTGTTACGGGTCCCAGGATATGGTCAACTGAGGGGATCAATACTAGTGTCGAGAATCGAGAATCGAGACCTATCCACGGCATAGATCTGCAGCTCTTCGTCATTCTCTCCCTCAACTCACTCCAGAGTCGACCACATGGCGTTCACCGTGACAAGATCTGTGAGGTCCCACGCTAAGCATATTTACAGTACTGTCCCACCTGCAGAAGGTCGATTTTTCGATCTCGAGAAATCGGGCATGTTTGTGAAATTTTTTATGGATCTTGCTTTTTTGTAATCTCCACGATATTTGCCCCTATCCATGGTCACTGAGCGCCTTATCAATTCCTGGCTTAAATTAAATCCTAATAAACTGGGGACCTGGGATGTGCCCAGCCTTGCAAGGCTGCCAAGGACATTTCCTGATGCCCAGATTGGTTGGCACGAAACAAGAACCGACTCCACAGTGGGGAGCACAGTCACGCTTTCACCCGCCGACCCTCGTGTTGGCTTTCTATGGCCGGAAGAGATTTGCCGGGTAGTCACACGCTATGCATGGTGCATATGTCTATGAACTCTGGCTTGGAGTACATTAATCCCCCTCAACGGTAGTATGGGATCTGTCAGATTCCTTTTTACCCAGTGCAGTCAATCTTAATGATGTATCGGTTCATGTTTCTCACTCCCAACAAGCAGCCCAACCATATTCCAAATTAAAGGTATCAATCCTGGTGGTCCCAGAGGGCCACGAAGAGACTTCAAACAAAAACAATGCAGTAAGCGAGGCAAGATACATCGCAAAAAGACCGCTTCAGAAACATCAGGCTAAACACATAGTGTACTCTCCCCCACGCAATCGTCGGCGACGGCGGCACAGAGAAAAATAAACTCATACACATAGACACGCAACTAAAAAAAAAAAAATAAAAAAAAAATAAAAACGTCTAGACCGGTCGCCTGCATTGCTACAATCATGTCCATCTTCTCAGTCACCCAAAGGCATGCCTTCGACTTGGTCACTCAATGACCGCCAATTATCTGCCTGCAGCTCGGCATACTTGACCCGCTCCTGACTCCAGTCCTGGTGAAGTCGGCTAATATGATACTGGCTCTGCTGGAAATATATTATTTCGTCGCGAATGCATTCTTTGATGAAAACACCGCGCGCATGTTGTTGTACAATCGACTCCTTGTCCTTGAAAGTTCAACAAACGCGACGTCAGTAGATGATGGTAAATTCAGGCGTGGAAGAAATACGCACCTTGAAGATTGCATCCTCTACCTTCTCGATCTCTCCGGGTTTGGCGGTACCTTGAGGGCTTCTCAAAGCCTGTAGCTTCCTCTCGTTGTTCTCGATGCGCCGCTCCAGTTGAGGAATGTTGTTCCGCGCGTAACGGTCTCGGCGGTCGAACATTTCCCGCACACTGACCAGACAGTCTCGCTGGCGCTTCAAGTCCTCCAACACGCCCTCTTCCCAGGCACGTGCCTCATCCTCCAATAGGCTTTGGCTGACAGAGAGATGATTGGCAGTGGCTTTGATACCCTCATTAAGTAAAGGAACGTCGTTGGTGTCAATCGCGTATGTGTCTCGAGTCACCTCCGTGAGGGATTGAAGGGCGAGCGAGAACCGCAGGTGGTCAGCCGCAAGGCCTTCATTGCGCTTGGCCAGACGCTCAAGTAATGTGCATAGGTTGATGTAGATTTCCGCAGACGTCTTTACACCGCCCCTGACGGTCTCGAATGTGTCCGGAAGGGTAGAAGGCAGGGAGTCTTCCAGATCAGGGGGAAGGACTCGCCCAGTAAATTCATCTTGCACAGAAATCGTGGCTTGCTTCCGCCACACGGACAGTTCCTAGTATCGGGTCACTATTAGCCATACATTGCAACTCTCCTTGGAGGCTTAAATAGTGCTTACAGTAGGGACAGTTAGGAACATGATCACGAGTTGCTCCTGGCTAAGGACGGGGTGTCGGACAAGGGCATTGGTAAATCGGACGAGTCCACGGCGACGTTTCTCGAGAAATGCATTGGAATCCGCTGCAAGGTGAGTGCCATTGACTTAGATTTGCGGAAAAAGGTGAGTAAGCTTATTTTAGAAAGCTTCTGCTTTGACATACCTGAAAGTCTCTTCGGTGGAAGAAGAGGAAGCTGTCGGAACGGATACCGTTTTTGGAGACAGTCCAAGAGCCAAACAAAATCACTGTATCGCCGTACCACTGTGCTCCCCCTACGAGCGGACTTTACCTCATAATTGCGATGCTGGAACATGAACATCCCCTCCTTCTCCGGGAGTAGCGTTACCGTCACGAGTTCTTCCACCGGCGGACTTGCTACCCTACTTATCCCCAGTGACCGCCGACGGGGATTTGGGTCACTGTGATCACTACTAGGAGGGCCAAATCCTCCAAGTCCAGTCCGGGCTGTTGCTCCAAGCCCACCATCACTCGGGGTATTGCCAAGACTTTCACCCCATCCAAATCCTGAGCCGTGGGACGGCGCAGGATCTGTTTGGCCATTCAAGCGGTTGGTGTTCGAAATTTCATTGGGGTTATTGTCCTCACCGACTCTACTAGACCAAGCATTAGTAGCGGACCGAACACTACCATAGCCATTCAACACGGGATGGTCGGATTCGAGTTGTGCGTGGGTATGTCCGCGATGCAGCTCTGGACTACCCCAAGGGTCGGACTCGAAGCCTGTCATCGATTCTCGTCGTGACCGTCGTGATTGAGCTGAGTGGGGCGCTTGCTGGGGTGACGCAGGGCGAGGTGGAGTAATCGGCCGCTCTTGCGACGGCGCAGGGGTGCCGGATTCCTGCTTTGCGCGCAACGCATCAAGGTATAAGCTTTTCGGTGCGGGGAGCTCTGCGGTTAAACTAGGTTAGAATTTGGGCAATATACTAGGGTCGAATGTATCTTTACTCTTGCGCCTGTCATCGACTGCATCTAATGTAAGGTCTTCCCCTTCTTGCGCAAGGCCCACGAGTGCTAGAAGAACGTTGAACTCGCCACGTCCCAGTCCATTTGCACTATCGATATCACCAGAAACAACAATGTTGAGGATTCTTTCTTGGTCAGAGGCACTGACCCCGCTGCCGGACAGAATTTCCCTGACTGAAGTCAGTCCAATACCGGCGCCAACGCGATCGCCTGCACTGAGGACTAGGTCGTAGGCATCGATATAACTCTCGGGGGCATCCGAGTCCGATAGTAAGGTCTTCACGAGCTTATGCCTGGCAGTCCTCTTGTTGACATTGTTATTCCACGGTGAACCAGAGCCCAGGTCGTCATCGTCGGCGAAAAGGGAGGAGCCCAGGTTGGCATTGCTACCAGTACCTAGAGAGGGTTCGTCGGCGAAGAGCGAAGACTTGGACCTATGAGCTGAATTGCCTGCCGAGGAGTCCTCGGGAGATGTGCCGAACAAGGACATGGAGGGAGGGGGCTTCTATGAGGGAAAGCGCCGGCGAAAAGAGGAGGTGTTGATCCAACGGTATCCCGTTATGCAGCGGAGTTCGGTCGGAGGCGGGAGATAAGGTAGGTGATGATGTGATGGGACCAAACAACAGCCAACCCCCACTGGTAACGACCCCAATACCAAGGTTTGATTGTGCAGCTGAGCAGGGATAACAATTAAATCTGAAAATAGAAACACATTAGAATGAGAAAAAGACCGGCTTTTCCTTGAATGGCACTTTCTGAAGCAAGAGCCACGAGATGAAGCTGCAGCAGTCAGTTCTTGGAAGTGAGGAGAGGCGGAGAAGCTCTTTGGCAGTTGGTCCACTGATGGCGCTAAGCAACTTTGGGCCACACCTGTCCACGGCACTCTCCAAGATGTTTGTTTGTTATACTTCTCATTTTTTTTTATTATATATTTTATTTTGCCAATTTTGTCCTTGCTTTGAAATTTCTGGATTCTATTGACTCATATATCCGCGGCTTTATAAATACATTTCTCATATCGTAATTTCTATAACGGACCAATTCCATTGGGTATCTATACATCAAAACCCCCCCTCGCTGGAACTCTCTGTTGCTGCATGGTCATTGCATTCTCTGTCAGGTTCCGCGCACGTAACCACAAAATAGCCATTCTGTACTAATAGATCCTGCCAATCTTGCCCACCCGTGGCGAGAATAAGCGTAGGATTCACATCAGGAGGAAACCATCGCTCCTTTCGTGTTTCGGCTTTGCTGCCACCCTCAAGTGCCGCTCGACTCGCCCTTGTTGTTCGCGCCCTCTTCGAACCCTGCCCATTCTGAGAGTGCAATCCGCTGAGTTGCATCCGATACTGCTCGAGGCGAAGATCAAAGGCGATAATCGCACGCACGTACGGACCAAGGTCTTCACTGATAGGTCGTATCCCGTTTTCGAACGATGGACTCAGCCGTCCTGTTGGTAGAGGGAATACATAATTGGCTCTCATGACTGGCTCAAAGGCTCTAGTAAATTCGGCCTGCTGGGAATTTGTGAATTTTGGTTTGGTGACGTTTTTTAGTACTTTCTCCGCTTGTAATGATTCGATGTTGGTTTCGTGACATGGCCGGAAAACCCTGTTTAATAAAACCTCAAATGTACTCCCGATGCTTGTAGACAATGCCGAGTGATCGTGTACGACATCGGCGTGCAATAAGGGATAACCGTCAACATAGTTCGCCTTTTGCTTCTCCGGCATCGGAGGGATAGAAGTATCAACAGCATCCTACTAAAAGTCAACATGTGTGCAAAGTAAGCGGCCTATGACAGCGACTTACCAATCTGAGATCAGGTGAACAACCAAGGCTTAGGACGTCAAGAGCACTTCTCATATCCATGAGGTTGGACTGATATTGTAGTCTGTCAAGTCGTTCTTTGTTTGACGCAGCCGGTGCAGCATGCGCCAAATCCGTATCTGGCATTCTTTCCGCATCCTGTAGACTGAGATCCCACCAAGAGAAGGCTTCTTGTTGTGATTCGACCTCACTGTCTAAGCCTTTAATCAACAGCATGTCACGGCTAAACCAGCCCATGAACGGTTCGTACGAGTTCATGCTGATCACTCGGAGCGGAAAACCGTCCTCGTCCACATCGGAACCACGGGGCCATCTGTCAACCATCCAATCAAGACCAGACTTTTCACTACCGATAGCCATTTGACACCAGAAGTTCAGTTCAGTGATTGTTCGACGTAGATCCCCGCCAGTGCTAATGTAAAGGTCGTCGATAGCCTCGCGTTTAAGCATATGACCTTCATTCGCAGCTAGTAGAAGACAATAATCAACGACAAGGTGCCGAGGTGGGGAACGGTATCTGAGAATGGCGTGAAAAGATATATCCCCTAGTGGGATACGACTCTCATCATTACAAGTTATGATGATAGGACGTTTTGATTGATTGATTAGCGCCAATACTCCTGGCCAAAACTGCTTGTCTTCCTCAAAGAGAAGGTCCGCTTCCTCCAGAAGAATGAAAGATTGTTTCTGACTCCGGGCACATTTCTGGTCTGGTTGGTTTTCCGTCTCTTGTCTTTTAGATTTTTTATCCTTGCTAGCACCGCCAGCCGTGGACTTGAAGAAGCCCATCAGTTTATTCTGTTTGGAATCGTAGGCTTCGTCTTTCGGAGAGCCAATATCGGAGGATTCGCGGCTGGGTTTCTCGTCGTTACCATTCACATTATGCACAAGGTGATTTCGAGTCATATCACCAACGCGGTCCAAAATGTCCCTGGCACTGCGGCGGCTACCCGGATTGATCTCGAATACCTCAAAATCAAGCTCCTTTGCGGCCGCGTAAATGGATGCAGTCTTTCCAGATCCAGAAGGGCCACTTAGAAGTATTGCATTAGACACGCGCCCCTTTTCTAGAGTTAGATCACCAGACCGGATAAGTGTTCTCTTGGACGAGACTGTTACACCACCCGCTAGCTCATCCTCTGATTCATCGACTTCGCCCAGTTCAGATGCCTCGTCTGCACTGGAAACAATGAATCCATCTAGATTTTCCGTTTTCTTGCGCTTCTTTCGTTTCTTTTTGTCTAAGCTTCGTTTGGCCTCTCCATCTTTGGAGGCTTTACCTGTATCGACAGCAGACACCATAAGGAATCTCAGCCAATCCCGCAGCATGGAAGCTTCCCTGGTTGTCTGGAGCACTTGCCCAGCTGAGGTTGGTGCATACTTTTGTGTCCAGAGATAATTGTCGCACTCCCCACGGTCAAATGCAGTCATCGAATTTGGTATACAGGTGTATAGTTTGGCAATAGCCGGATGACATGTGTCACGGAGAGCGTAGCTATCCGGATTCGATAAGGTAGACTGGGATAACTGTCCGGCTATTGCTTTTTGTAGGATGTTCCCGCTAGCGACATGCCTCTCAGGTATCCGTAAGATTTTGGCGGACTCCTGGCAAAATCCTTGCATCTCCAGCGACAGCACGCTCTCTTTGTCTTGAATGCTAATAGCAGCCACCTTGGACTTCTTTCTATCCATATTTGGTGAATATTGCAAATTAGGTTGTCCTGCTTGACTTCCACGGATATGGACAAAATCTCGTGGGGGCCATACGGGCTGCATAGGTTCTGGAAACTTAGAAGCTCGCTGTGTAAAGGGAGTGTTTGTGGTAGTCTTAATGACTCCTAAACTTGGTGTTGAAGACTTCTGAGACGGCAGTGGGGCCTTCATGACTCCTTCCTCCCTTTTGTCGGCCGCTGTAGAACTTTTGTTACTAACCTGGGGTTGCAAGGCATCTGATTTGCGTGTCGCTTTCTTTAAAAAGAATGGATGAGTTGGTTTTGCTGGTTCGTCTTTAGCTGCAGGACGAACAGGTGGCTGACGTTTAACGGGAGGGCCGTATTTCGTCCGGCCACTAATGATGTCGTCAATGCGTTTCCCCAAGCTCTCCATAGCATTTATGTTGGAATATTTGATGATCACCACCTTATGCTTGTTGCCCCCATCTTTTCGAGGCTCTGATTTGCCGCGCCCCTTATCCTTCTTCTTCGTGGACTTGTCCGACTTATCCGCGACAGGCGAGCCCAAAAGCTTTCCGTTGGGGTTCAATCTGATGGTTTTCTGTCGTGGAGACCTCCTAGGAGTCGCCTTATAAGGCGCAGAATCATCCGTTGCATGGGAGCTATCTTGAGGACCCGCGACTTCAGGCGAAGGAGTTGAAGGGAGAGCGCTAGCTCCAGTTTCAGTCACATTAGGGCCATCATCTTCAGCGGGTGTAGGTATACCATCGACCGGAGTGCTTTCACCGTTGGAAGTTGACGGGGGGCTTTTGGCCGTGATGTAGTTGACTATGGAACCCTCCGAGTGACTGACATCGTTGGACTTATCAGTCTTGCGTCTTTTCCTGCGGGATGCATTGGGATCATGCTCGAGCATCGCGACGGGTCTGTGTTCCGGGGAAGGTAATTCATAAAGTACGGGGTAGGGTGAGATATATTCGCTTGTTGATCGTTTATTTAGGGACAATGGGCTGCCATTGTGCAGGAGGTCATATGAAGGGAGTAAACCGTCTCCTGGGATGCTCTGAGGGATGGTGTTGGTTGGTACTCCTAGGTCTATTGTGCATGAGTATATTGGAATGCAGCGATGGGGGAGTGAAATGACCTCTTTGAAAAAAAGGATGAATCGTTCGTTGCTCTTCCTGTCCCATCGCCATAGATCACGGCGATGTGTTAATTTGATGAGCTGACGCTCATCGCTCGATAACGGTCAGATTGAACAGAAATTGTACATGCAAGATATATGTGAAAACAAGCTAAGGATGAAAGTACTAAGATTGATGAACAAGTCAATGGTAATATGGGCGTACAGCAGTTGAGACTGAGATAGGCATAATTAAAGCACGAGATTGAAAGCACCAAAAGAACGCGAAGAAGCGCGTATTCTCGCGCGGCCACTCTCTCCGCCTGTACGTCATTTACTGTACCTTAAGTGTAACGGAGGTACATCGTAAATTTAAAGCTAGCCTCCTTCGGACTAGCATCGTAAACCATCGGAACAACATAGGACCGGAAATTTTTCAGGATGCATCGAAATGAATTTCTTCAAGAGGCTACACTTGCTCAGCATTTCAGCGGCAACGGTCGCGCACGTTAAAAATTGATATCTGCTGCCATGGATCTGCAGCAGCCGTCGGTCTTGGCCCAATTGCCTCGCCCCTTGCACGCATCCAAGGGCAAAACCCATATCGGTGAAGTCTATAGCCTCTCCGACTCTAAAAAGCGCAAAAGATATGAAGTTGCTGTCGCGGTCGATGGAGAGGCCGTGAACATCTACAATGTAGGCTTGGCTGGCTTTTTGTGTCCTGTATAATTAATGCTAAGTGTTTTGACATTAGATACAAACTCCGAAGCTGGTGACCTCCTACGCTGTTCCTCCGCAATCCACATTTTCGTGTGAGCCATGCTCGGTGCGCAGAAAGCTTTCAGACAAATCGGTCGTGAAAAGGCAGACCTATGTTGCGGTCAACCCTCAGAAAGAGATCAAGTGCTTTGTTGAAGAAAGCGGCGGAAACGGATCGAGCGCGCCTGTCATCTCTTCCTCGTCTTTCTCCGTGAAAGATTCTAGCAGTCCAACGGTTTTCATCGGCATCTTCCCGACTGGATCTAGCGAGGAGGAGGAAAAGAACCCATTCGATATCGTGACAGTTCAACAAGATGGTCGTGTCCGGAGACTGGCAGCGGACCTGGACAACCAGCACTGGAGTCTCCAGCATAGTGAGCTCGCAAAGATCTCTTCGTCTCATGCTGTTCAAGCTTGCTTCCTCGTTGAGTTTGAAGACGCCAAGAAATCCCTGTTCAAGAGAAGACAGGATCTTGCCGCTTTGGCTTTGGGGGATCTGGTAGACTCTAACGTGGATGAACCTTCAGTGCTGTTGCTCGTTTCGCATCCAACTGGTTCCAAGGAGATCAAACTGAGCGATGTCAAGGTCCATATGTTCTCCGTACCCACCAAGATTCCTTCTCAGGAAAGGAGTCTTGACGAGAGTCAGAAAATGAAGCATCTTTTGACTTTCAGCATTCCAGATATTAAGGGACAAGAGTTATTTGAAAGCAGTGGCTTGGAATGGGATTTCCATACCGGATCGGCAGGGCTGAATCTATCTTTCGCCAAGGGATTCGTCAACTTCGACCTTTCTCAGTACAAACCGACAGTGACTTCGCAGTTTATTCTTGAAAACGAAGATTTCTCTTCTTTGATGCGCATATCCCCCCAGTCAGTCATTGGTGCCGGGAATTCGATCGTCGCATTGTTTGATACCCAATATAAATCCATCCAGCGCAGCATCGCCATCGACGACATCCACGGAAGCAACAGCTCCAAGGCACGGACAAAGTTTATCAGTTACTATGCAAAGCTGGGAATTGCAGTAGCAACCAAGGGAAACACACTATTTGCGTTCGACCTGAGCTCGTCCAACTCGCTTTCGGGTTCCTCTCTTAAGCGGTCGAGAGACAGTCTTCTGATTGACGCAATTGGACGCGGTATCGGATCATCCATCTCTCAGTGGGATGTAACTCCAAAGAAGCTACGGACTGACCAATTGACGTCGTTGGGCCTCACCTCGAAGGAGCAGGTCAGTCGGTGGAACGACCTGGTCACTGACTTGCGCGTGGCCTCGGAATCGAAAAATGGCGGCGCCTTCGACAGTGCTGTGCAGGCGTACTTCGAGGCCAGTAACGTTGATGCTCTGCCAAAACAGTATGTCAATCCAGAAGTCATGCTGTTCCTGCTCTCTTGTATCTTCTCTATGAAGGATGCCGTGAACAAGGACCAATTGTCCGTCTCTTCGTCGTCACAGCTGTCCATTGACGTCTGGCCCGAGCACACATGCCAATGGCTTACTCAACTGGGCCATCTGTCTCTCGACAACGTCGAAATTGCCCTACGCCGATCACTCAAGCCCCGTATCCTGCCCGCATTGCCAACCGGGTCATTTGTGCAAGCTCTCATAGATGCGGACCCCACCCTTAAGCGCCTCATCGACATCCTCCAAGGCCCTGTCACATTCAGCTCTGATGAATTAGCTTACACGCTCAAATTCTTCCTCAACATGGCGCGCTCCCGCTCCGCAGCTCTCGAAGAGACACCCCAGGCCATAACCTCCGGCGAAGAGAACAGCATCGAGGCCATCCAGAACCCCGAAGCCACACTCCAGGACATCTTCCGCGGGCTAAACACCACCCTCCGGAAGATCCACATCCACCCTCTCCCAACAATCACCACCTCCATCCGCTCCACCCTCTCCAGGACCGAGATCATCGCCATGGTCCACCACCTCCGTCTCTCCCTCGCAACAGGCGGGTACGCATCCCGCTTCACCGAAAACCCCCCAACCCCAATCTGCCCCGACCAAACCACCCCCTCCCTCACCCTCAACACAATCACAGACCTTCTCAACGTCTCCGTCGACGCAGTAGGCCCATCCGGCTGGATCTCCGCCACCGCGTTCGACGACACCCCCACCCGCGAAATGGACCTCATCGCAGACATGAAATCCGAAATCTCCGCCGCCCTGGCCGGTGTCGAAGAAGCCTCCTATCTGAAGGGCGTCCTCGGCGAATACCTCCGGTACACAGATAGCGTCGCCAAGTCCGCCAAATCCGCCGCCACCAAAAAACCCAAGGACAGCGACGAACCCATGTCCTCGCTGGTGCGCTTCGAGAAACTCAACGGCGCAGACGTGATGGTCTTCCGCTCCGCGGAGGAAGAAGGCTTCGAAGGCGACGCAAGCGGCAAGATGCTCCCGTTGTCGTTGAAGGCTGCCTCGACGGATGTCGGCAGGACGAAGGTGAAGAGGTCGACGGGCGAGGTGCAAAAGAGGAGTAATCGTGAGATTGGATACTTGCGCCGGAAGGCTGTTGGGAAATACTCGTTTGAGAGACTTATTGTATAGATATCATATCATACATGTACTGTTCCATCGTTGCAACTACCTTTTTCTTAAGAAAAAAGTAAATGTGAAAAAGTCTGGTTGAATTGGGTGTTTCGATGTAGATAGATAATCTAGGTCATGTTATATACTGATTGTCACGATTACGACCTTGTTTGATGTCTCCATTACCTTGCTTTAACTGGAAGGGTAAACTTTGCACCATATTTTTCTATATATTTGGTCTTCTATAATCTCGTTTCATAAAGATTACTGCCCGATATATAGAATAACACACGACTACTATACACCTATCCAAGGGTCTTTCAAACCACAGCCGCGTCTGACTTACCATAACTTGGCACTGTGGCAACTCAACGTCATGCCGATGCTTTGGTTTTGCTCTGCACAGGTGCGTATCAGGTATCATCTCTTCCGAAGAGAAGAGTTGTTACAGTGATGAGTGTCTCCCCATAAAATGATTGCCATTGTATGTAGCCCGATGTATAGGAAGGATAGAACTCTTAGACATGCAGATTGGATAATCTTGGTTGCACTGACCTAGGGTGTACCGATAATACATAGGAAGATGGGTTAGGTTTCTCTGGGCATTGTGGTGGCAATTTGGTCCCATGTCGACGTGATATCTGCCAATAGCTAGGAGGATATTTGATTACGCTCATCTTTACTCAACAGGTAGTATGCCTATTGTTACCCGCTTTAATATAGCGTCGTGCGCTTGTGAGAGAGAAGTGAACGTCAGGTCTATGTCACTCACATTGGTCATTTAGATATCAGAACGCACTTTGATTCAATATGTACATCATTTATGTATGGCTATATATGCACAAAGATGGGATAGATCGAGGCATTCGCCAGCATACTTTAGCTTTCTTTTTTTCATGCTGTGAAATCATCTCATCAAAACTGGCCTGGGTATCGTGAATATCTCGGTCCTTCACTTCTCACATGGGTGGCCCCGATGGCTTCAATCATTCGTGTAACATGGTGCAAAATACATGGAAATAGCATTTCAATCATCACAGCCGGGCAGAAACGCAGTCAAAATGGGCATAACACAAGGTAATCCGCACATTGCATGACACAAAAAACAGTCGTCCATGGCAGACACCAGAAAGAGCCAGCGTTGTCACACGGCAAGGATGACTGGAATGGCATCGAGTCGCACAACACCGGTGTACAACCCGACTGACCGGTTAAAGTGATGCAGCTCCACCTCGTAGGATATGCTCGGATATCACTTCGCGTATTGTCGTAACAGCGTGTATCAAATGCTCTCATAGGAAAGAGATAATGATCAAAAGGGAAGGAAAGAAGAAACACAGTGTCCACTTGAACAAAAACAGAACTCCACAAAATAGATCATCGTAAAACACCGAACAAGTATGCGTCATAAGGAACATGCATGGTAAGGCCCGGATAGTAAACCGCAAATAGAACTCAAAAGGCTAGTGTAACAGAATCAACTCAACTGAATGCTAGGCGATCACATGAGGTTTTGTCTAAGCAGCACGAAGCCACCAGCTTCCCAATCAAGATAACCTCGTCTTACTGCACTGAAACGGAGACGAGGGAAATAAAGTAAGTGAACAAGGCCACGTAACCCTATACAAGGCTGTGAAACCTCAGCAGCAGGTAGATACAAAAGGGAGCAGAAGAATGATGGGCCACTCAAGCCGGTCGATTTAATCCGTTCTTATGGCCGAATTTTCAGCGCGCTCCTTCAGTCGCATAGCTTGCGCTTCGAGTGATCGAGCCATGAGCTTCGTGACTGACCGAAAGT